GGAACTAGAAAACAGGATCCTAGATTCGTAAAAGACTATAGCTACGCCGCGAAACGCTAAACGAAAAATARCACCTTAGCTAAAGAAGGGGGATAAGGTCTACCTCCTTATAAAAAACCTAAAGATAAGAAGGAAGACTAAGAAATTAGATTAAGTTAAGGTCGGGCTATTTTTAATTAACGAACTACGAGGACTAGTTAACTACCGCCTTAAACTACCGCTTAACGTAAAGATCTACCCGACGTTTTATATCTTATTATTAGAACCCGTAGACGCCGATACTCCGTACTAAACTACGTTTTACTTCTAGCCGGAAGAATAAGACACCTAGGAAGTCGAGAAGATCCTAGAATAATAAGGTTAGGAATATTTAGTTAAATAGAAAGGATTCGACGAATCGGAAAATACCTAGTATTATAAGAAAGACCTTAAGAGCTACTACTAGCTTCTTAAACAGTTCTACTAGATAAGCTAGAAGCCTCTTAGAAAGGATCCGAAATACCTCTAATAACCGCCTAATCCTTAGGAGTTAACTTAAAAACGTCGGAGAAGGTAAAGGGATTCTCCGAAACTTCTATACCCGACTCGATCTCGGAGGAGAGGAAACGAGCCTTAATAGCCTTAGCCTCCTCTAACTTATCTAACTCCTCTACGATAGCATCGTCGGTACGACGCTCTACTAACCGTAACTGCTTTCGAAGACGCACCTTACGTATCTTTAACTTTATTTCCTCCTCCTTAATACGCTCGATATCGATACGGAGCTAGTCGCGTATATCGCGTAGTTTTTCCTATTTAGGACGCGACACCTTTACGTCGTAGTCCTTATAACCTTTCCGAATATACTCGGAATACTTCCTAGACCTAGGGCCTACGATATACTTCTTCCTTAGACCTACGAGCGATTTCTTAGTATTACGATAGTTTAAATAGGGCGCTATTTCGAATCTAGAAGCTTCGGTTTCTTCGGTAAGACGAGTCCGACGTTTATAGGAGGAAGAGGACATATTTACGAATTTACGAGAAGGAAGGTTATTATAGTTAAGTAAGCTCTAGGACGGAGCTAGGCTAGAAGGGAGATAGTATTACGGAATAATCCCGTAGGGACTCCCCGTAGCGATAATCCCGTATAGGAAAGGCCGCTAGGGATAAATAAGATAGGGAAGGCCGTAGAACTAGTAATCTTATATAGACACGCGACGTTAGGATAGAGCGGGCAGGATAGGATCGCTAAGAGCGTAACTAGGTTAGATAATCTAGGTGCTAAGCCGAGCGCTCCTCCTAGTACTACTTAGACTAACTAGACGCCCTATCTAAGCGCTTAGAGCGCTCGCGCTCGGATTGCTTAAATAGCTTACCTTTATAGTTAGTATATATAGAAGCGATATAATCCCCTATAGAGCATATCGCGTACAACTTACTATTTTATCTTACTTATTAGAATAGAATATCCTACTTTACTTTACTTTATAGACTTCCTATAAGCTCTAACCCGATCCCGCCTAGCTTAGCCGTCTAGCTTAGCTTAGTAAGATTATCGAGATATTTACATCTTAACACACGGTTACTAGTAGTAATATATTAGCTCRAACTAAATTATTACGAAACCGGTTAATAAGCTACGGAGGCTTCGTATAGCCTCGTCTACCGAATATAACCTTTAGAGCGTTTCGATAATCGGATAAATACCTCCGCTATTTAAGGATACGCTACTCCGCTTACCGTAGGTTCTTACGGCGGAGCTTCTTAGCCTTATCCTTATCTATATTCGTAACTATCTTACGGAGCTAGCTAGCCTTTATCGAGCTAGCTACGGTAATAGTGCTAGCGTTCGCTTTTATACGCTTCTAAGCCTATTATATAATATCTATACTCTTAAATTTACGCTTATACTCTTAACTAAGGTATACCTAAGCTATAGTAGACTACGTAGCGATAGCCTTAGCTTATTTCGTTAGTAAAGATAAGAACGGATTAAAGCTAGAGCCGTCGCCGTCGCTTAGAATTAGTATCTTTAGATACTATTAGCGCTACTCTTTACGCTCTTTTACTAAGCTAAATTACTATTATAATATCCGTAGACTAAGGGTAACCGCTTCGTAATAAACTAGTAGCGGAGGTATCGGTATTAGCGTACCGTTTAGCTATCGCTCGAAAGAGCTCTAAGAACGAGGGCTCTAAGAATAATTAGCCGTATCTATCGAATATATAGTAGCTAACGGTTAGCTACTATATAGCGAATTAAATATCTATAACTCGGTAAGCTCTATATCTATATTAATATTACGCTCTTCTTTAAGCCTCCGCTATTATTAAGACTATATAAGGCCGTAGTTAGCTCGAATAAAGGTAATAGGAACGGCTATATTAACTAGCTAAATTCCGCTCTTTTTAAAGCCTTAACGAACGTTCGAAATACTAAAGGCCTTCGTTCGAATCGAATATAGGCTAGCTATAAACTTAGTAATACTAAACTTACTAACCCCGTAGTATATATAGTTTATAACCGCCTTCCGATAATAGTACTTATATTACTAGAATAATATAACGTCTAGAGGCTACATAAAATAGCTAGTATAAGGCTAGAGCCCCTATACCTTAATTTAGTATATAGTTATAAAGTTAATAAACTACTTAAAGGTATAAGAGCCGTAGTTATTATATAGTAAAACCCTCTATTACTCTAGGTCCTCTAGCCTTATCTACTCCTTAAAATAAATAATATACTCTATAGCTGTCTTATCTATTATATAGCTAGTATCGCTTCTTAATATTAGGAAGTTAGAGACCGCTATTAAGCTATCCGGTATCTATTTAGCCTATATCGTTTTAGCCTTTATAATAAACTAAGGCTAGATAGCTATACCGTACGGATTAATTGTCTTAATAATAGTAATATAAGAGCGATTAAGCTTACTCGCTAACTAGGCCCTTCTCTTTCTATCTATTATTACTACCTACTTACATCCTCTAATACTAATATAGAAGCTAGTTTTATTAAAGTTCTAGAGGTTCTATAGCCTTACTCCGAGCCTTAATAATATAGCTTTAAACCTCCGAAACTACGACCGTATTACGTCCGGCTAGTAAGCCTCCTTTCGCTACTTCTTAAGCGGCTTACTTTTAACCTTAGATAGGTAGTAGCGCTTTAGAAACCTTTCTAACTATCCTTTACCGAACGGCTCTACCGTAGAGCCCTTTAGTAACGTCCTCTAAAGTATAGATATTACTACCTATATTACTAGCTCTACTAGTAGGAATATATTAAGCCGGTTACGCTCTCTATAATACTCCGCTAGCGCTACTTCTATTGCCTTATCTAGCTTTAAATTCGTAGGTTCTCTTTCTAAGAGGGGTAGACGGCTAGTAAGGCGACGGTAATAGCGGTCGTAAAGGCGCTTCGGTATTACTTCTAACTACTTTATTTATTAGTAACCGGATCCTTTATCTATTAATAGCTATTAATAGCTATTAACAGCTATTAAGTATCTTTAAAACTATCGTAATTAAGACGGTAGGGCCCTCTACGTTCTACTGCTTATCGTACGCGTAGATAAGGCGTAAAATTACGCATTTATTACGCTACTTTTTAGTTAGCTATATAGCCTTCGGCCTACCTATTATACCTCTACGAAAAAACACGTTTTTAACGAAATAGTGTTAATAATAAGACGAAGGTATATATAAGAACTATAGAGTCGAGGTTTTAGCGTATAGCTTACTAAAATTTAGACCTTAGCGTTTAGTCGAAAACCCCGAGGATACGAGGGGCTAGTAAGACTATTAAAGCCCCGGATAGTTTTATTAAGTAGGTTATAATACCTCCGCGGACCTCCACATTTTCGTCTCGATTAACTACGACGATAATTAATTTAGAATACTACTACTACGGACTTAAATCCCGCTCTAAATAGCTTAAAATTACTATAATACCTAGTAGTCTACCGTCTCTTATCTTAAGGAAGGCCTAGAGGGTATAAATAATAGGGATATTAAGATAACCTTAACCCTAAAAAAGGGCTAGGTCTATTAGGGTTATTAGGATTATTGTTATATACGCTTCGGCGGCGTACTAGACACTTAATTTTCGGCTATTTCGATAATATCGTCCTTTGTAATTACTACGGGGAAAAACACGTATGTTAGGTAATGTTATAGGTAGAACATAGGCTGTAGGCCAAAGTTTAGTAAGTAGCAATGTCCAGCGAATGATAAAGCCCTAGCGACCCTACATGTTACAACTGACTTGATAAAGAGGGAACCTACGTGCTCAAACCTACGTGCTCAAACCTACGTGCTCAAACCTACGTGGCAAAAGCTACAAATATGTAAGAAGCCGCAAAAGCCACAGGAAAAGAAATAGCAGCGGCTCGATAGCCCGCCCCGCCTCGCGACGCAAAACCGAGGCGGCCTTTTCCCCTAAGGGTTGATGAATTCCACGCAGTGAATTAACAGCTATGCCCATAGACGGCTTACCCTAGGCAGGCATGAAAATAGGGCGAAGTCACGGAGAGTCGAAGTTATCGTCGAACAATCCTGCCCGCTTTCTACCGTTCTGTAATCCTTGTTGCAGGAAGGTATCAAACAGTCGTTGGTAAATCTGGTACTCAGGGGGTCGGCAATCCTCACTTCCCTCCGGCCTTGCTCGATCTAGACCAGCAGCATCTTCCTAGAAAGGACTGCACAGCTGCATATGCAGCTATCTTGCTCTGCAGAGTCCGGTCCGCCTTGCGCGTGCGAGTAATGGGTTACTGCACACTGACGACGACGACGCCGACTTCCACCGATTGATCGGATTATCCCGACACTTTCTGATATCGGAGGAGGTACAGTGAAATGTACGAGTGAGAAGGAACCAAAATCCCTCACAGCGAGAGCAATCACGTGTGCTTGTTCACGAGGTATATATATATGAGCTTCCTTCTCGCTGAATCGGAAGCGGATCATCACATCGTTTCCTCCCTCTCATTCGATCATATCCTCATCCGACCATGGTGAACATGCGTTTTCTTCCACTGGCAGCAAGCGTAGCAGCAGTGCAAGGCTTCGCCGTGACCCTACCAGGCGCGCAGACTCCGATCATCGACCTTGAAATCCACATTCACAATGACCATGGGCCGGGTGGATTGTTGGGTGGAATGTCAGAAGGCATTTCCTCAGACATGCCTTCCGACATGTCTACATTTGAGGGACCAAGCGAGTATGCGGTTAGTGGCCAGTATGATCGAGGTCTTGTTGAGTTTGTTACACCGAACGGCAATACTGAAGTCATTGCGGGCGTGGCAAACAATGGCAATGCCTTGATCAGTTACTGGAATGGTACCTGGTGGCCTGAATTTTACCAACCTTACAAACCTTACAATGCGGGCGGCAATTTCAACAGGTGGGTTCTGCTACCATACGATACCGCGTTCACAATAACTGATGGGAAGCTATTAGATCTCTGAGTATGTACGCGATCAACGAGACCGTGTACATCACCGGCGTTACTATGAGCGGAAATTTGGTACTCAAAACCTTCCGAGACAAAGTCTTCTACCCAAAGCAGATCAGCTGGATTCTGCTCGACGAAGTACAATGCGTTGGAACGCCCGCCCTAGCCAGTCACGACAACAAGACCTTGAGCATTGTTGCAAGGACTCAATCTGGGGGGGCTCATTCACAAGTTGTACGGCATCAACACCGACTTGCAATCTGACGGGGCTCCGTTTAAATCCAAGACTTTTGATGCCAACCCAGCACTGATTGTTCGCCCGAACGGTGTCATTGTCGCATTTGCGAATGACGCAAACGGCACTCTTTTTTACATCGAGCTGGAAAGAAGGGGGCTCGTGGTCTGAGTGGAACAGTCTGGGAGWGAACTTCACGGGAAGTCCATCTACCAATGTAGGCACCTCGATCGTTTGTCCGCTGATGAATCTTGCTAATCAAACGATTGTAGTGGGTCGGGCCTCGAGCCGATATACTCGTTATCGGGAAAGACGGAGCTCTCTACTCAAGGTACTATAACTCAACTGGCGACCTAGTCCCTTGGATCGTCGGCAATAAGGTCGGCGCTACAGGGACGGGAAGTATCAGCTACTGGGACATTGGCGATCAGCACACCTCGTTTTACTACAATACAAGGTCCAGCCCAGAAGTTCAGGTCCGTAATGGCGAAAAGGTCACGCACCACGGCAGACTCGACGGTGCAGTCATTGCAACTCCGGCTAGCAACGCCTGGAATCTTAATGGTAAGAAGCTTATCCAGATCTGGGCACCTGGCATGGACGGTGGTCTTTACACAAAGACCTACCAGAATGGAGCAYGGTCCGGTTGGACGAGGTATTACTATGGATTGAAAAATTGATGTTCTCGAGCGACAAGCTTGGAGTGTCAAATGTGCACAATCGCTTTTGCCATTGCGCATATTCAGGTTGCAGTGGGGCTTATGCGAGGACACATGTGTCAGGGTGTGGTATGAGGATGAAATCCGCTTTGGCTTTTGCTTTGAACCGAGCTTTCTCATAGATAGCTTGCTCATATCAGATTGACGGATTTAACACTCTGTGGCGTGGACAGTCGATTGGTATTCAACTTGCTAGAGAAATGCTGAGTCCACACTATATTCAGTACCCGTATTTTTATGCAGTGATCGCAGAAATAGTTTGCTGGAGCGGACACCCTCGTAGCGGCGATGCAAAAGGATCCCCATCTCAGAGTAAGAAATGACTCCCTCACCCCATTCAGTCTCCGCTGTGTTATTTGAGATCCAGCAGAAGGTGATCAGTCTCCGGATCAAAACAAATGGTATGGCTAGCACATTATCTCTACACTTTCGCAGGCTTCCGTGATCCGATATGTCCTCATATCGACAGCTTTGGAGATTACACGTCAATCTCCAATATACAACAGGCAACAATGTACCTCTATTAAGGCAGTGAACAGGAGCCGGCTACAAAATCAACGCTTTGTTCGTGTCCTTGCCTTAGCCATACCCGCAGCATTGGATCTCTCGAGGGCGAACATGCACCAACCACCAAAGATATATCAGTACATGGCAGTCTCGCCGCCAACAACATCATTGTCTTGAAAGACGTACCCCATCCAAGATGCAGTAATGTTCTCGGCTCCGCCTCTTGCGGTGTACGACAATTCAAGTACTTTAGCCTTGCCGGACGGTAGCAAACCTTATGCGATTTGTGTGGGAACTGTGCGTGTATAGCCTTGCCCGAGTACAGCGTTTACGCGTCTGCGATGGCTAGTGTCCCTTCCGTCCGTTGCATCCGTGACGTTCCATTGATTAGTATGCTGCGAAGGATGCGGAAGCCAACCGTCAACTTACCATCCATCGACTAACCGCGAACCCGAGGTGCGCTGCGAGAAGTTCAAAGCAGACACTTGTGATTGTAGCCAAAGCGACAGCTCTTCGACAAGCCTTAGTATGTCAAGACAGATTCAATGTAGCATAGGAGACACTTTGCGGCTGGGACTCCAAAGGAATGGCATGCATGAGGACGCTGTACCAGACCACCCAGTGTAACCAGTGTACAGTTGTCATTGTGATGCAGCTGCAAGAAGCTTCGTCAATTGTGATGCGGCGGCAAGAAGCTTCGCCAACTATGACCCGTTATGCATTAGTGGCGTATAAGGTGAGTGAAGCACCTAGCACTCTCGGCAACATCGGGCTTGGCGTGCATGTGATAGGCATCAGTGCAGAAGTCGCACAACGCCGCAAAGTCTTGCAGCGGCTCATGTTGAAATGTCTCGTGCGAGTCGCAGCGAATCATGCTTCCATAAACCTGGTCCGCGTTTTGAAGAAGGATCTAGGCGTAGAGCATTATTATTGAGAAGCACCGTCGGAAAAGGAGAATTCAGGGGCTCAAGTCTGATATCTATGACCATCCACGACCGGATGATGTGTTCGAAGCTCGCAATACTTGGGACACAATGCTCCGCACGTCTGCATGTCCGAATCTTTTACTAAGTACACATGGCAGCGAAGCTAATCGCAGCACCCACGAACCAAAGCGATGCCCGAATCTCCGTGATTGCCCTGTCAGCTTCRGGTGCGTCGTGGAACGCACCTAGTAGGAGTTCGCCGGTAAGTCCTTGGGCAAACGGAGACCATTGCCCGCGGGCACGCGAGTCATGACACAAGTTGCAGGATTCTGCCCGTCATGTGGCCCAACAACGCTTTTATCCAATAGGAGGCAGCAGCAATACATAGCTAGAATCTTGCACGAACCATAGCGCCGATTCGCCGCTGGGGGCATTAACTTAGGGCATGGTCAGGTGCTGGACTATTGTAGTACTGCTACAAGTCCTGATCCGCCTCCGCTCTCGAGACCGCATGGCCTGCATCCGCGCCTCCTTCAGCTTCTTATCACATCATATTGTCCGACTGAGAGAACTCACTCCTCCGAGGAGATTACCATTTTCGATTGCATATAATACAGTCGCTCATGCCGGTAAGTACCCACGCATCAGTACCTTCCTCACCTTTGATCTTTCGCCTTCACTTGTCCGCCTCCAACCATCAACATACGTACATTCTCCATTCTGTGCTACACCGTGCTGGTGTCGGCCGTCATCGCCACGGATATCACAGTGCACAAGGCTCGACGCTATGCCAGAACTGCCGGAGACGACGTTTCCTGCCTAGGTAGGCGACAAAGCCAATACATAGATGCTGCAGGCCCGTATGACCTTTCCAATCTCGAGTACTTCTACTCCGCCGGGATTACCAACAAAGGCACACGCGATATCGTAGCTGCCTTTTCCAGTCGGGGAGAACCTCCTGACCTTTGCGGTGCCGCGCTTGGCTCAAGTACAACATGCTATAATTACGACGAACAGATTATATCAGGTGCTATATGGCGGACGCAAACTGGAGCCGCAGCTGTATTGCCACTCCAAACAAAGCCAAATCAGTCGGCCACATGGATCACGCTAAGGACGAGCTCTTCTAGGACATGAGTAACACGACCGAGAAGATGGACACGGCCAAAGAGTGCCGCCCGGATACGAACAACGAAGCAATAAGGTGCATCGCCCGGTCGCGTCCATCACACGTTAATGGCTATTTCAATGGCAAGGTAAGTGTCTATGAAAACACAAATAGCGGAATACTAGAAGGCTGACTCTAGATGCAGACGTACCTTGTTAAGACGTCCGACTTCGACCGGGCGACATTCTTCGCTTTAAAAACAGAAGAGGAGAGATTTCGCTACTTCGAAGAGCGCGTGGACATAATCTGGGACTTTTTTACCTGGCAGCGGTGATGCTAAAGACGTAGGGTCTGCGTCGTAAAAGAAATCCCAACTATTGTATGTCGAAGCGGTATATAGCAAAGGTCTGCTTCTTGTTGCTCCAGGAGCTGGCCGATCGAGCCGACTCTCCTCTCARCTGTGGAGAACAGTTGCCGTTTTGGGAGAGAGATCCAAGGACTGCTCTGGACTGCGAAGGATGTATATAAGTACTTGATGTGGTCTGTCTTTCCATGTTGCTTGACCGTGTCCGTGCAAGGCGGCTGAAAAGATTCGTCCTTTTCTGGCGCTTGCAGCTATCACTCGAGCACTGAATGGTCTTCCCAGAAACTCGGTCTGATTTCCAGGGAGCACCGCCGGCGGCATGACAACACCAGTTCGATTCATCATCGCAAGCCATTGCTCGATGGAAGTAATGGGTTTGTAGTCGTCCGGCATCGGCCCATGAATGTCTTCGTTCCACATAGTCTAGCAGCCGCCATGTCGGGATACTTTACCTGACATGTACCTCAGCATGCCGTAATATACCTTGGTAAGTCAACGGGACCCTGGACATGTCATTGACTTCAGGGTCGCGACGTCGAAGCTTGAGGTGGCAGCTGCTGCAACCTCGTTTCCAGTCTTACCGTCGTAACACTCGGAGTTTGCTGTCGAGACAGCCCCTTCATTGACAGTATTGATTACTGCCCTTCCTTGTTGAAGTGGACGCCAACGAACTTGGATCCGCCACAGAAAGGTTCTAGAAGCGGTGGTGGCCGAGTCATCACAGTACGGACTGCCGCGTTCAGAACAATGTCAGACACGCTATGCCCAGTATTTTGCATCGCAAAGCTACCAATTGAGGTATGTAGTAGTATCAATGATGTAGGACTAGCATACACGTCTGACGAATTCACAGCTTATCAACGAATTCTTCAAAGAAGCCAATCAAGCAGCCGAAGACCATTGCTACGAGGAACCAGTAGGACATCTGATGGATGACTTCCAACGGTTTACCCAAAGTTCCCGGGGAGAGCGCGACGACATGTCCAATCGACGAGCAAGCGTTAAARGACAACCCGTTCCTCAATAAGACAGTTGCACAAGTCATCGATTGGGCTCAAACCCACCTGCATCCCGAGCGTAGTCTTCTCATCAACGACCAGGCTATTATACTCGACGATCGCACCGCACGAGATAGGACTTGTCTCCTTGTATCGGCAAAGGAGTGCTGTCGCGAACCGATCCCTGGACTGAAGGAAGCACCAGATGCCTGGATTATGATACGCTCAGACTTTGAGTCCTCCATTGTCACTATCATGGCCAAGGCGACGGGCGTGGCTGGTGATGACCATTTCGAGCCACTTCGTAAAGAGGGACACGATGGTGTTGTTTTGCGCATTCGCGAGATCTACGCCAAGGATAGCTGAAGCAGATATGAGAGATTGGCGCAGATTGACTAGTTGGTAGCTCTGTAGTTCAAGCTACAAAGCAGTCGACGTAMTTGGGAAGATTTGCTCCGGGAAGTGCTCATAGCACGAGTGAAGAACGTGGAAGTTCGCGTAGAGAATCTGGCATGCGCACATGCGCCCAGATGCTAAAAGCTGAAGACCGAGCTTTTTGGCCGTGCTCACCCTCCAACTTAGTTTTCAATACTCTCACGGCTGGTGGTGAATAATAGCATGGCGGCTACTAGGGGTAGAGTGTAAAAGTGTTCCGAAGCCGCGATGAGACACAAGGTGGCCACTACCGATCGAGGCGTGTAAAGGACAAAGGTAATGAATAGCAAAGTCAGCTTTTTGCGAGCCCGAGCCCGTCTTATCGTTCTGTATGGCTGGCTGCTGTAGTGATGTTTCGAGAGCTTGAAGTGTGTATATCCAATGTCATCGAGGCAATCCTAACGGAAAGAAATTTTTCATGGCGATTAATCCATTCACACATCATCTTCAGGCTTCCGAAGAACCCGTCGATAGAGCGTCCCCATCCTTCTCCTCCACCACAAAGAACTCTGCCTTCGCATGCAAAGCAATCGCTTGCTGCTGCTGCCTAGCCACGCTCGCCAGAAAACCAGTCCGATTGTTTCCCGTCGATGCACGAATGGCGTCTTGGTGAGTCGATCCTGTAGATGTATCACCATTGCCAGTCCGTTCCAGCCATCTCCACAGTGGAGGGACGTCGACGAAATACACCGTTATGAGAATCACCATTAAAGTGAAAGGCGCGGCCGAGGCCCAGAAGACCCACTGGTTGAGTTGCATATTGCGGACGTCGGAAGTATTCATGCCAAAGACGCTGGAGACGAAGGATAAAGGGAGGAAGATGATGGTGATGATGGTGAAGACGACCGTGGCATTGTCCCTCCAATCCTGCACGTTGGAGACTTGCGCTGTTGCCTGCGAAAGATTGTCGTCAGTTGTGATTGATCGCATTCATATAATTTGGTATTTTGCGAACACACCTCGGTCTGAAGCTGGTTCAGCATCCCGTGGAGCTGCTGTATATTGCTGTTCTGGAGCTTCATACTTTCCGGAAGGGCTTTGAATACGGCTAGTCGTGGATGTGGCGAGAGAACATCATGCTCGTCCGGATTTGTCTCGTCCTCTGCAGGCCATACAATGTCAACAAGCTTCTCCAGTACATCGATCTGCTGCGTTTGTAGGAGAGAGAACGCGTTTAATTCATGGCGCAGATTTCTTATGCGGTCGAGAGGCTCTCGACTTGGATCCCCGGTCAATATGTTCGACTCCTAACAGGAAGGTCAACACTCCGACTTCAGGTAACCCCAAGGTGTTGTAGTACTTACAAGGTCGGTGACGTATTGGTTATACATATCCAGAGCGTCCTGATCACCAAGGACTGGTCTCCAAAGGATTTGTGGCAGGACAAGCGCCATGAGATCTATTGGAAAAGCTGCAGCTTTCCATTGTATCTGGGCTCTCGAGTTGGCGTTCAAAAGAGCTTCGAAACCACTGACTAGCTGCGTCCATGCGGAGTCTGCATGGTGTTCGACTTTGCTCCATCCATACTGGTTATAGAGTACGTTGCGGGCAGCAGCGTGCTCCCAGCCCAGTCTCGTCAGTCGTTCTGCACATTCGTCGAACTTCTTGCGAAGCATGTCTGTCTGTTGCTGATGTGCTGAAGCATCATCTTCTGGTCGTTTACATGTCCACATGAAGTCAGTCATAATACCGCAACATCTTTTGACTTCGGCGTATGCATAAGCCTCCTCGTCGTGCGTGACTCTTTCGGCCACAGAGTTCTTTCTTCGTGCGATCTCGCTCTTCACGGCTGGCAAAAGGTCATTCAAGTCTGTGATCGCTCGGGCCGCCAATACAAGTGCAGAGACAACATGCTTGAGTGTATTCCGAAGTCCCTGGGAAGTACGCCCCTGCACGCGACCGAGAGTACCGCTGTTGACGGAGTAGAGCTCAAACTCCCGTGCGCAGCTGAATAACCGCCTGAAAGCCTGTCTCAACTTCCGGATGGCGAAAGCGCAATTTGCATGTTCCGCAGAAGCCATGGTCTTATCGAGTGCTTTGACTAGCATGATGACTGCTGTCAATAGCTTTTCATGCTCTGCCTCCAGTTCGTCGTCGGCGGAGCTCGGCAGGTAGATATTCAGGAGACCCCTCAGACCGCTCAGAAGGTCAGCATATAGCCAGCCGTCCAGTTGAATAGTTTGTATCTCTTCTTCGCCAGTGCCACCATGGCGTCCGACGACAAATTGACAGCCCAAGGCTTCGAAAACGTCGAAAATCTCGCCAGTTTCCGCGAAGTTTAAAGGGATTCCAGATCGTGTGGTAGCGCCACTATTGCACCATTCTGATAGGACATCGTTGTATTCCGAGGTCGTGAGGCCTTTGAGAGACTCGTAAAGTAGGTATTCGTCGAAAAGACTCGCCAAAGAAGGCATAGACATATCGACGGAAAGCCGCTTGGCGGGCTCCCCCGTCTTGACCGGGCCAGGCTTCGCCCGTGCCTGTAAATGCGGTTTGATGAAGAGGGCTTCACGAGTTGAGGCTTGGATATGTTTGCGGGTCAAGGCCGAGGGAGTCGCAACGTGGGTCTCACGGCCATCCTTATCATCTGCGCTTCTTGCCTCCTTAACATGGTTGCGCGTTGATGTTGGCTCCATCCCGTCTTTTAGCCTACCAGATGACTCTTGCATCCCCTGGATGCTCACATTGTCAACGACCGTAGGCTCTGTTAGCTCGCCAGTCGTGGAGCTAGTTTGCTCGGGATCGATACTCGCAGTGTCACCACTCTCGTCACCAGAACTGCGGGTGTGGGTGTGTTTGATGAAACACCTTTCACCTAGCGCCGCGTAAAGTGCAGCTGTCGCCGGTGCTTCTTGACTGATCATATCAGTGCCGTGCTCCCTTCAATCTGTTAGCATACGCCCGTGGCGACCATTCTGCCAGACAACAGACCTTTTCTTCATTACGAGGTACAGAGGGCACGTCTTGGATCTTTCCACTACGTCGGGCCATTGATGTGGGAAAACTTCAGCACCATCCTCAAGGATAGCGAAATCGTCGGCGAAGTTGGTGGTATAGCTGGAGAAATGGGCCGCAAGGTCCTGCATGCTTTAGCTTGAGAATAATGGCGACGACGCAGTTGCCTGTATCCGTGACTTACCAAATATGTGGAACAATCGTCTTGCTCCAGCAGCCATGTGTTTTTGTCGTGAGTTTTTAGGCGAATGCTCAAGACTTTGTGCTTTGGTGGTCGCTCATTTGTTGTTGCCGGTTTCTGGAGCATGTCGCCGTAGAGTTCGTTTTCAGCGAGCGTGGAGCAAGTGATGATCAGATCTAAAAGATGTTTCAGCGCCTACCGAGGAGGAGGAGGGGGTATTCAGGTAGCTACCATGATTGATCACAAGAAACCAGACCTGTGAGAGATACAAATATCGCTGGTCTCGGTGTGGGAGCATCTGACATGCAACTTGTTTCAGATCTCGTCGACTGTTGTTCCTCGGATTGAGTGATTGGAAMAGCGTACGGGCGGGATGACCGATGCTGGAGTGCTTGTTACTTGGAGTATCGGGGGGACCACCGGGCCAGAGCCTTGAGAGTATTGGGGAGAGTTTCAGCCTGGCTTCGGTCTGATGGCCATGCGGACGCAAATCGTAGAACGGGACGCAAGCAAAGACCATGCCAGTGTCATAGGTGTCTACTGAGTGGCAGAATTCTTCCATGTAAGGGATTGAGTTGCTGTGGTGTGGCAGCTTCTCGTATAGCCGTTGTACATCCTGGAAATGAGACTCGACTTGCCATCGTGCGTTTCGCAGCTCTGGGGTCCGGAGCACTTCGTACTATGTGCCATCAGCTTACGCTCATGATGTCCTTTTCCGTGCAATGAGTACCTTGAATTTTTCGAAGTCCATAGTTTCTTGTTGAAAGTGCCTATCACAGTCACCTCAGCTAGTACACTCATCATCCTTCTACAGTTTACACCTACCGAACATGGAACAGCGCCTGTGCGCTGGCGATATTAGCACTCGGGACCATTACCAGCTTTGGTGGATTGACGCTTGTCTCCTGGAGTAAATCTCCATAGGTAGAGTGTATCACTCTTTTGAGGGCCCCATGAGGTGCTGTGTACCGCAACCTTGATGAGGCAGAACTCATTGAGGAGGTTATAGACGACCTTGTTGAGAAGGCTGTATCTTCGTCTCCATCGAACAAAAGCGGTGGGATAGGTGACGGGGTTGCCGTAGAAGTGAATGTATTTTGTTGTTCGTCTTTGCACAGTTTCTGGAACCAAGGTGTTCTTAAGAGAGCCCGTCTCATCGTTGGGCTTTCCGGAGTGACGCGGGCTGCTGGCTTCGTACCACCAATCCCGTGTGGCCTGGTTCCGTCGCCGGTAGATCAAGGATTCGCCTTGGGGCTCCAGGTTGACATATCTGCTATCAACACGTTGGCCCTCTGGTTGGGGCTCCAGATTGACATTTTCGCTTTTTGTGGGGCGGCCTCCACGGAGCCTTTTCGAATGTTCAAAAAGGATCTCGGTTTCTGCCGGGTCCATCTCTTGTTTGACTATGATGTAACTCGGGTCGGACTAGAGGTTGGTGGTAAGCTCTGGTGTCGAGAACAGACCGCTCCAACAGCACAGCTTGGAGGAAACTCACCTGATCGTATTCCCACGGCAGCTGATAATACCTCAAAGTCTCCAACTCTATGTACTCCAATTTGATCTTGGGATAAACGGGATCGCGTGGCTGTGGATGTACTCCCGGGTTGGCAGGTTGACCATCTTGGCGTTTTTTTGGCATCCTCCTCGATGGATTTTCGGGCTTGCTTCTGGTCCGCCATTACCATTATGTCGATGGTTTTCTCAGTGTAACCCAGATTCCGTAGCCGTCTAGACCCTCATCTCGGCCTGAAAAGCTTGCTCCGGATCTTCAGTAGCCGCTTCAGGTTGTGGTTTCTGCCCGCTGTCCTGCTCTGCTGGCGTATCTTTGGGATTTGTCTCGCGGTCGCCAATGGAAGCGGATTCGGGACGACGAAGAAGTCCACTTGATGGTTCTTCTGCCTGAGGCTTGCGAACACTCTCTTCGCCTTCTGTCAGTCCAGCTTCGGCGCCAGGCAGTGTTGGACCATCATCGGATTTGTCTGCCACATCCTCAACCGTAGCATAGCATGATTTCGGCCGCGCTTTCCCACTCGCGTTCGAGCGAGAAAAGCGCGGGCCGTTGCCCGTTCTTTTGGAGCCGGAGACGTTGTTGATGTTCGGAATGCATCCAGTACCAACTCTGCCTTTTGCCGATCTGGATGGCCGTCGGGTAAGATGGCACTCGTCTCACCAACACGAACATCTTGGCGGCCCTGTTGTGCACCAGGATAGTCGCTGAACTCGGCTCTATCCCGCAGCTGGAGAAGTTTGCGGCTTGGGCGACGAACGAAGGCGTATTGTCTCCTCTGTCTTTCGGCATCGTTTCGCCGCTCGAACTTGTAGAACATTTCGTCTCCTCCTCCGTTTCCCTCCGCGCCCAAGGTCAATGATGGCTGCAGTTGTATATTTTGCAGGCCGTGCGGCTGAACAGCTCCCCAACGCAACGAAGGTGGAAGACTCGAGCCATACATAACGCTTTTGCAATTCCGATGGCCCATTTGTTGCTGCTTGACTTGTCATGTTTGCGAGGTGTGGCTGCGATAGATACCTAACTTACGCAATACCGCAACTGAGACTGGACTGTCTGGACTAACTAACAAACAAAAGTTGCAGAGGAAGGGCGGGCTGAGAATGAGAATGAGCTGAGATGCCATCGGGCGCCTTACAATTAATTCCATGCATTGTCGATCAATCCTGCAATGTCGATCCAATCCTCCACGTCCACTGCCGCCGTCATCTCGCTGAACGGTGCGCAGGCCTAAGGTAGGTACCTTGTGCTAGACATGCATGGTACAGTAATCACATCTGTGCTTGTCATCGTCATGAAGGATGGAGCGAAGAACACCAAAGGCGTCTGGAAGTGCGCCAAAGCCGACCTGCCAAGCAAGCAAGCATCATCAGGAGGTTGACACGCCGCCGCTGATGAACATTTGTGATGATAAGGTGCGATGAGGATGACATATGTGACTGTCATCAATGCTTGTCAGGCGTGGTGGTGATAAACTAAGAAAGAGAAGGAAGAATGGAGAGGAAGTCAAGGTCGGCCGATGCCCCGGCCGCCAAGGACGGAGCTCTTCTACACAACGTCCCAAGTAGGTAGGTATCAAGGACGACATCGCATTCAGAATTAAGGTATTCTTCCCGACCGTTCGACCGTTCTTTGCTTATTGTTTCTAATTAACAGACTGTGGACTGATAATGTTCAGGGCAAAATAACAAGGATGAGGTATTTGATCTGATCCTGCTTGCATCGGATCTAGGGCTGGACAGCCATCTCCACCTGCACCGAGCAAAAATGAGGGCAAAAGAACAGCCATCTCCACCTGCACCCTAGCAGGAATCAAAAATCAAAAAAGAAATGTACATTCAACATTTGGGATTCCCCAGTGGTCACCCACCTGAGTACTGATCAAACGATTACATGGTTCAATAGGCCAGAGCGGACGGGATGGCTTGCTTTCATGCATCTATGGTCGAATGTGCTCAGAAACGAGCAAAACCGGCATATCATGATGTAAATATCGGGCTCTTCTGTCGATTTCTTCCTTTCGCCTTCTCTCCCCCTTTCTCCTTCTCCTTTTTTCTCCCATTAGTAGATATAACGAAAATTCAAGTTCTCCCTATCAGTCATATCCGCAAAAGCGGTTCCAGCAAGATCTCTTCCCTCAAGCCCTCCCTCCTTCTTGCATACTCTGAACAACATCCCGTCTCTTATTTTCCCTCGCCAGAAGAAATCTCAACAAGACAATGATACAGAATTCGATCAAGTGCGAAACAATCATACTCCAGATCCCAAGTTCGTATCGCGGCGCCTGCGAGCTGAGATAAAAAAAAAGGGTCCGGCGATATTTCCCGTACAGTACCCGAGAAACAGCACGGCATTTGTCAGGACTTTTTTGGTATGGCCTGCTGTATTGGCGGTTGTGAGGGAGAGGATCATGCAGAAGGAGGCGTTGTAAAACCCAGTTAAATAATATGCTGACCAATCTTCCAGCCATGTTGTCTTCGGAAAGATAGCGCAGGCCGAAGGAGCCGGCGATGTTTGGGAGGAGGAAGATGAGGATGAAGTAGCAGCGTGTTTGTTTGCCGTTTCGCGCCATGTAGTCGTTTAGGTAGACGCATGTGAGGATGGCGATTGCGATGATGAAGCCATAGGGTACTTGCATGAGGGTTGTGACGAGCGTGGAGAAGCCGAAGCCTAGGTTTTAGGTCAGTCGTGTGTGTAAATTGCCCACGGGTGATCTGGATGACGCGGAATGGTATGCCTCCAGCGTCTCCTCGATGTGCTCTCGAACGTACCCTTTATGATGATGGTTCCTGATTAAAGGAGAGAGTCAGCGTGTGTCATACAGGCAAAAATTGTCAGCATGTTATTGAAGTTGGACATACCGAAGTTAGATATACCCCCATTCGGGACGTTGCAGACTATGCCCAGGAGGAAGAACTGGAGAAGGTAGTTCAGTAAATGCTGTGTTCAAACGAGCGTTGAAGACTTACCAGATAAAGCTTGTAGTCACAAAGGGCTTCGTACACTTGATAGCTGCGAACGCGGTCAGTTGTCTCCTATTGTCATGGCCCTGATAAACATACGACTTGAAGCTAAGACGGACATCAGCAAGTACTCCTCTATAAGTTTGACAGGGGCTTCAACATACCTTTTGTTCTCAACACCAGTCTGATCTTCTCTCATCCTCTCCACAGCAATCTGTTTCTCACGTTGAGAAAGCCCCTTGGCCGTAACCGGGCTATCAGGAAGGAGAATATAAATGACGACTCCCCAAACGCAGCACAAAGCACCAATAATCAAAAAACTCAAATTTCCAAGACGGCAGACTTCCCTTGATATTCCCAATCCCATACCCCAACAATCCACCAAGCGCAATCCCAAAACCATTCGCCGTATACCACAGACCCATGCGAATAGGCTGTTGTCGACGAGTATACCACATCGCAGTAACCAGCATGAACGCCGGATCTGCCACAGCCTCCGCAGCACCCGCGAGAGCTCGAAGAGCTGCGAGGGCTGCGAAGTTTGGGGCAGCGGCCTGGAGCATCAAGAAGGCTCCCCATAGGAAGATGTTGAAGCCCAAATATCGTCCGACTGGAAGGCGTTGAAGAAGGAAATTCGTAGGCAAGGCCCAAGCGAGAAATCCAAAGTAGAAGATACTTGATAGCCAGGAATATTCCGCTCCGACGAGATTGAGATCTTCCCGAATACCGAAGATGGCGGCGTAGCTTAGTGTGGTCTTGTCGATGTAGAAGAATGCATAGCAGACGGCCTGGAAATGTTGATCTTAGTCCACACTCTTGCTCGCTTCTTTGCAAGACTTACCAGATATGGCAATATCATCATGTCTATCTTCCTCACCACTCGACGCTCTTCAGCTGGATCTATAGGCTCTCTGACCTCCTCGGGTGAGCTGAAGAGTGCTTGGGCAACATCGCCACCGCCGGACTTGGGATGCTTCCATTTCGATACATGATCCATCGATGCCGTCTCTTGATGCACGGCGGAATGTTTGTCCTCCGATCCGGTGGGCGGAGTTTCTACAGATGTGGGCGATACAATACTGTCAGCATGACTTGCGCTGCGCCTGAAGAGACCCATCTTGAGAAGTCAAACGACTTGTGTGGACAAACTGATGAACGGTCACGTTCAACAAGGCTTGAGAACAGTAGGATGATGTGGACACAATCATCTGCTTTAGTAAATACTCATGCTGTTCAATTCACCGGGCCAACTATACATCGAATGCCCGACAGCGGGTCTCTCAGAGGTAGTGACCCTCGCCCTAACAAACGCTCCATGTCCTCGAATTCTGTCAACTCCTCGCACCCCCAACCCCGCATTCATATGCGACTGTCTCCACTCAATCCCTCGAATTCGAAAGTGATCGACATTGTCGGTTGAAACTTCAGCGGGGTCGCACACCCAGGCTGAAGTATTAGGCGGCAGCAGCGTATCAGGCGCTTTCCACTCTCAGTAGAATGGCGGTACGTGCTGCTGTATTCTACACCTCCAGGTCCAGTCCGAGTTGACTCTTCAGCATACGTGGGCTGCACCTGCCAATATCGCTGCTGCAGCACTGCAACAGAGCAACATCGTCCTGTCAAGCATTTTGAGCGAAGTCTTGGCGCAGGATAAACTTTCTTCCGTCGAGAGACCAGGATACCAAGAGTTCAAAGTGTTGGAGATCGCCAAACTGTACTACTACAGTACAGCCTTAGTGGGAACATGCTTCGGCGCTTTGGTAGCTTTGGATAGACCAACAGTAGCAGCATCGGGAGTAAGTCTAGATCTCGATGCTCGACTCTCGGACATTTCCGAATGATTTCCGTGAAAATGCCGCCAGTTCCCGACGGGTCTAGTTTCGGCAGTCGAACAGTACACTGCTACGCCAAGGGCAGAGCGACTCGGCGTCGGGGACTTGCCAAAGAGCTTGTCCTGGTATGCTCGGATCTGTACGGAGCTCAACAGCGACTAGGCCGCGGAAAGCCTACGCGCGTCGCTTGTTGCTCGCGGCGTAAGATTCCAGCGCCGAATGGTCCACACTAGCCTCACGGTATCGTTTCTGCCCGTGACCAGATACGTATGCGTTGGTGAATGCATTTTGCCACATCACTGGCGTTACAGTGGGCAGGGTAGGCGTCGTATTTTGCGCGATGGAGCTGCCATTGACAGATATTGGTTGTGTGCCATAGCCGATATTTGAACCTCCTGGCGAGTGCTGGTTGGGCATCATAGGGGCCGAGGTGGGCGCCATATGTCGGGAGTTCGGTGGTGTCGCCTGTGGCGGAGGTGGTGCGCCTCCAAAAGCTGCATTCCATTGCTGGAAGATCCCTGAGGGATCCCACACCGGAGTGTGCGACTCATTGCTTATGACCGGCTCCAATTCGAAGCCAATTTGTGGTCCAGATGTCACCTGATTAATGGAATGGGGCGGATACGTGTGCGTTGAGACATCGTAGCCGCCGGTTTGATAAGGCATGACTGGCCTGTTTATCCCGTGGCCGACTCCATTGCCAAAGCTGGGACCAAACTCGCTGTCTGGTGTCATGTGCTTTGGCACAGCATGATCCACTACATCAGACCATGCGGGAGCGTTGAACATCGGGGCACTTGTAGGACCGGAGTGTGTGCTAGACGGCGTCGAGTGATCGTCCATTCTTGGACTTCGCAGACCGAGCGTCGGCTTCAGCTCAAAGGGCAATGAAGTGTCGGCACTGAACGCTTCGCGCAACGCATTGATTTGCGCTTGCATCTCCGGTGCGGAAGACTCCAGGCAGTGCTCGAGAACACGCATGTGGCGGGTAAAGTAAAGGCGAGCCTGCGAGTTGAGTAACGGATCAGGTGAAGTGATGGCGGCCTGTCGAGATTGTCAGCACGTTGCATCTGCTCTTCTTGTGGAGTGGGTTACTCACCAAATGTAACATGGTGCATGTTAGCACACAATAGATCGTGAAATTGACACCCCGAATCATGAATTGCAGTCCATGGAACCCAAAGTCCCGATACAGTGCCTCTTGTATCCGACACATGAGGMCTGCAGACACTAGACATATGTCAAGCTGGGTCCTGAAGTCGGGGTTCCCTTGTTCCAACAATGCTTGAAGCTGGGGCCGGTGGTGCATGATGACAACCAGATGGTGATAGCAATGAAGGTCCGCAACAAAGTGATTCCCACCGAGCCACGGCGGGCTGCCATCATCCGGGTACTGGATCTGGAAGTCGGCCGGTAGGTTCTTCAGCCAATTGGGGAGGTCTTCATTGTGGCGAACGAATTCGGGATCAAGCGCCCAGTCTTTCTTGTATCGCCTGATCGTTTGCCAGAGGACATTGGTGATCTTGATGTTGCGCACGGACTGTGCCATGAACGTGCTACGCCTCGAAGATTGGTGTTCGAATGCATCCACATCATTCGAGGACATCGGCAGATCAACCTGAACAGTGTCGACCTCCACCGAAAAGTCGTTTCTCCCCTGCGGAGCACCAACGAGAATCTCCAGAACAAACAGGGACTGCCATACTCTAGTCCTGAGCATGCACTCTTGCTTGCTGAGAGGGCATGTGTTCTGCAGTCTATGCTGGTCACAATGCTCGTGAAGCTTGAGKTCAAATCCCATGGAGATCATATACTTCGTATCCATCCAGGAACGGTAATAATAGCCTCGCTTGGAAATACTCTCCCTCGCCTTCATAAGGATAATCATCGCTTGGATAGTGCTTAACCGTGGGACGTCTTTGAACCCTTCTTCGTGCCTCGATGCCAGCGCGAGCCATCTACGTGATTCAACGGTCTCTTCGAGATATCTCGCCACACAAGCAAACATGGCCTCCAACAGCAGTGGCGATATGGTTGACCGAGCAYTCCGCCATTGGTGATAGAAAGCAGCTCGGTTGAGAACAGGGCAGTACGAGTGAATGTGCTCGAAAAAGTAGCCAAAGTAGTCYAGAGCACGCTCCTCGGACGGCATCATTTCTGGTGGAATCCGCACCGTCTTGTCGGTCAGGACCGAAGCCGGCAAGACGACTTCCACCTCTTCGAAGGCGGGCGCATCTGCCGACAGCTGTGTTTGATTGGTAATGTACGGTGCGGCAGATGTAATGTCAATCTGCAAGTCGCCCATTTGGCTGGACAGTTGCCGTACAGATGACTCAATTTCCTGTGTGTCCCCGCTAGAGCTGCCCGAGGCCACGGTCTGGGAACGGATAAAGTTTTGGGGTTGACTGCCCTGGTCATAAACGGAAGGAGATATATTAGGGGCGAAATAACCATCATCCGAGTAGGCCGCATCCAGGCGGGCGCCCGTACCCGGCGTCCGTTGATACGACTGATGTTCAAATGGAGTCGAGGTCGAGATTGGCGTGGAAATGGCAGGCGGCACAGCAGGAACCCACYCATGGACCATGTGAGGCTGCGAGGTCATGGCAATTGGCGGTTTGCTTTCTGTCGGGCTCGTGAGCGGAAACGTGGTGTTTTGGAATGAAAACTGCTGATGTCCGGTGTTGCTGTCGGGAATCTGCTGGTCGTCGTCCTGGTCGAGGGTGGGCGGGATACATTTCAGCTTCAAGCGGACACAAGCTCCACACGGCCACGGCCCATTTTGCAGGGCTCCGTCACAGCGAATCTTGCGTTTACGACACCCGTCACAGGCCCGCATCACCTTTAGCCGTTTATGCCGATTGTACTCGTCGACAAAGACATATTGCTTGGTGTGAGCGGGCGCCGCCGCCGGCGGGTGTTCCATGGTGGTCCGAATGGCAATAATCTGGCCTGGCCTGGCCTGTTGGAGCTGAGGAGACGGGAGCGGGCGAGTGCTTGGCACAACAACGGAGCACACCTCAATGTCCAGTACGGGCGGGCAGGTCCGGCGGTGGTGGAGGAAGGAATGGTAGGGTAGGGTAGGGTAGGGTACAGCAGTAGTAAGAAGCCTCTTCAACTCCAGCGGCGCTCCATCCCAGCTATGTGTAGGCTACGGATCTCAAGAAATGTCGGACCCCGGAACMCAAGCGCTCAACTTTGTGAGCGAAGGAGGAGGTAAGGTAGGTAGGTTAGGTAGGTTAGGTAGGTACCGTGAGCCAGGATTGCTCATCGGACGAATGATTCAAAAAGGGCAGAAGCGCGCGCGGTTGGCGAGTGTTGGAGATGAAAGGTGCACAAATCCATGCGAAACATGGCACCCCACACCCAAGATCCGCAGAGCTCGGTTTGAGGCACAGAAAGCAAAAAAGCCCGCCCGCCTTGCTTGCATGATCCCGCCGCTGCCCTGCCTGCATCCCAAAGTCAGTGCAGGTCGCATGCGCGGGACAGGGTCTCGCTCGGTTCAATCGGGTATAGGACAGTATCGGTGGCGCTGCGCTGCCACTGCTCTTTGCAAATTGCGAACGATTCCTTTGAAACGGCAAATCCGCATCACACACTCCGCATCCCTGTCCCTCTGTCTACACGCCAAGCGACGCCAGCATCGGTGAAGGGCATCGTCCGGCAGCACTCTGCGCTCATTCTGGAAGATTCACCTCAGACGACGGGCGGCATTTCGAGGGTGAAGATTCATCCATTCATACCCAACATCATCACCCCTTCATAAAGATCGCGCCATCGTTGGTGCCACTCCAAGCTCTGCAGGCCCCGGCGCATTGATTCGGATCCCACACTACGCCGCGACCCGATAGTCGGCCGACAGCTCTGAGGAATCGCAAGCTTTCGCCTTCATCAGTAGACGCCTGTTTGCTGCCACTGTACTACGTATATCGACCTCTCCGCCCCAGCAAGGATTGTCGACATCGACAACACGCCACACCCGCCATGGACGCCGGACTGGACAACGCTAATCCCACCATCAAGAACCCCTTCGACCTGCCCTCTCGCCCTTCGGCAAAGGGCCTCTCGAAGCCCCAGGGACTGTTCGATGCCTTGGCACCTGCGTATTCCACGCTGACGGACCCACTCTCCTCGCCAGAATCGCTCTCCGACCTGTCCGACAGCGACGATGAGCGCGAGGAGATTGACGAGCAGGAAGTCTACGACCTCATCTCAACCATCACTGACCCCGAGCACCCTCTATCTCTGGGATCCCTGGGAGTCGTGAACCTGGATGACATCAAGATCTTCCCGCCTTCATCTCCACGATCCCGCATTAGTTCAGTGCAAGTGCTGATAACACCCACCACCTCGGCGTGTTCCTTGACCACAGTCATCGGACTGGGTGTCAAGGTCAGACTGGTCAATGCCCTGCCTCCGCGTTTCCGCGTGGACGTGCGCATCAAAGAGGGCACGTCCTCTTCTGCAGACGAGGCCAWCAAGCAGCTGGGCGACAAGGAACGCGTTGCCGCTGCCATGGAGAACGCCAACCTGATCAAAATGGTCAACCACATGCTTTCCTCGTGCGAGCAGTAAATGATTGCATCTCGTGTTCCTGCATGAACTGCTAGCGCGGGGTGGAGAAGCATTCCCGACCAACACTGCACTGTGCACACACATCAGCTGTGAGCAGGCAGCTGCATGCACTTGTGCTTCCATCACGACCATGCATAGATCTTCACGAATGGCACCTGGGCATAACTTAGAGGTGTGGAGCATGCGCGTACAACAATGCTTGGTAATCTCCCTCATGCTACCCAAGGTTAAGCCGGGGCCGATGTCCGAGGCAGCTTTGGACGAGCACATGCAAAATCCGGTCGCTGCTGTCGCTAAAACACCACGACCTTGACGGACCGACTGCGGTCGAGCTCTCGGCGAGCCCCGATCGTAATGATCCTTGTACGACTGACGAATATGGTCAAGTGTGCTTCAGACAAGGACGAGGCATGATGTTAGCTTAAGGTTGAATATCCAGGCATCGTGATGATTGTCCCAATGTATGACGCTCAAATTGTCCCCATACGCTATGTAAATATGCCCAGACGATGAACCCTGGCTCCGATACCCATGCACATGCAATGCTGTCAATTTCCTCGCTTCGCCGCCGCGCTCAGCGTATAATTCGCTACCAAACAAAAAGGTGACACTTTTTACCCCTAGGGTCGGGGTGCTGCAGCTGCGGACGGCGGTGCGACCGACTGACTTGCTTCTCCTGCCTGTCCAAACTGTCCATTCCAATTTTGATCCGCCATGGCCTTGCTTGCTCCTTCGGGTGGAGAATATGCCGGGGGAGGTGGCGCGTGTTGGTAGTAGGCTGGTGGCACTTCCTGCTGTGCAGGAGGGTATGCGTACATGGGGTAGCCTTGTGGTGGCGGCGCATTCTGATAGTATTGCGGCTGTCGATACCGGCTCTTGACCATCCATCGGTGGTAGGATAGGGGTTGGAGGCCCTTCTTCATCCGCTTGCGCGCGTGCAGATAGCCTCCGAGGAAGAAGAGTAGGAGGGCGGTGAGGATCACGAACACTATCACATAGCGGACAGTGTAGCCAGTCTGTGAGCGTCTCTGTCAGATCTGAACTCGCATTGACGCATTGAAAGTGTAGAGTACATACATCCGACCAATACCAGCTATCGTTGTAGTCGTCGTAGTCATCATCTCTCTTCAACATGGCGGCAACTTGAGGCGCCATGATGATATGGATCGGTCGCCCCAATGGCCTGACTGTGATGAAGCGGCTTCGTGAAAGTTGCGACTACGCCTATGGGGCCGCCACACGAAGCTCGAGCTTTGTGAGCCTCTGTTGTAGGGATGCGCGGGTCTCAGATGCAGATATTTCGAGTCGAGCCTAGAGGGCGATGTAGTAGAGTGCGGGGTCCAATGAGAGCAGGCGGTGATCGTGCAGGCGTGGAGTTGGTGTGATGTGATGCTGGTGTTGACAAGTCGATCCCTAGGATGGCGTTGCTTGCTGTTGCTGACACTGTTGATATGGTGCCGGAGCTAAGGGTTACTCCGTGCGCCGAACCTTGCCAAAATAAGCACCCGACGATCACGATCCTACACCTCACTTTGTTGCAACAAGTGTGCCTAAGATGTCACCAATCTTTCAATAATTGGAGCGTGGACTGTTTGATCATTATTGGACTCTCATTGATTGATAGAATACTCCATGAATCTCTGGAAGATGCGCCTCCTACTTCCCATTCAAGAGAGAGATTAGACCCTGATGAACCTCGAGGACCTGAAAGATAACGGGACATGGTGCAATTCGTCATTCTGCAATTCACATCAGACTGGAGCGGCCTCTTTCTGACAATCGCAGACAATCGAAGACTTCGGTGCTAAGCTTGTGGAATCCTAGGAGGACCGCGCCGTGCTCTTCTCCGGCATTGTCTCGCTGGCGGTCTATCAATGGCATACATCGCAGATTCCTGGGGTCACTGGGTCACGGCCTCATATCATTATGGCAATTTTGATCTGGCTACCAGATCTCCCTGCTAGAGGGGCGATCAAGACGTAGAGTTGAGTTGTCCGAATGACAACACTTCCGCCCTTAGTGCCTTTGCACCAATTGACCGGACTAGATCAGCAATGGTCCGGTAGAGCGCCTCCAACATATTTCACAGCTTACTTGCGCGACACCTCGCTATCCTCCGGGCCGCGCTAAGCAAGCCATATTTCTCGATCTCATCTCTCCTCGATCCCCCGGGTGTTGCCAGACATCCTGGAACAACACGCAGCATTCCCATGCTTCTCGATTGGAGGAAGAAACTCGTCCATGAAATTTAGACTTTGTGTGATTGTTTTCAATCTACCTGCATGAATGCCCAAATGCCGGCCTGGACCTGGAAATCGTAACCTGTTACGAGATTACGAGATGTCACAGAAGACGCATGGAAGAAGCCTATTTCTTGACGTGGGGTGAATTGAGCTACTTCCAAATTCACGTGGAGCATACCGACACCGGGAACTGGGTTGGAGTATTCTCAGAGATCGAGGACCTCGTACAGCGTGTTGAGGCAGGCATTGGAGTTGCATGACTAGAGAATAGACCGTTGGCCTCCCAGCCTCCCTGCAGCATGCTCGTCTCCGCTAGAGGGGATAAGAACCCTGCTAGTTCATGCCTTTCCCATGCATCGAGATGATGTACAGGAATCATCGGCAAGAATTCATGTCCAGGAGAATCCGATTCCATCACCTCGCTTACGTTCGGCATTCACTAGCTTGAAGCGTATCGTTGAAGTCGGGCAGCAGGWGATTTCCGGGTACATGAGTAGCACAAAGCGGAGAACGAGGTTCAAGAGCAGGACTTGATCATGCATATTGTTGCAGCTTCAGTGACAATCTCAAGATTGTCACAGTTTCCAAGGACCTCGCCTCGCTGGCGATTTATTGAAACCGTGCAATTGAGGGCATGTGCATGGACTTCAGCTCATCACATCACAGATACGATCCTCCAGAAAACTTTCCCGAGAAATCAGCTGCCTTGTTGAGCATTTCCTTCTTCTGAACAGAAGACATGCGTCCTCCATGTCCCATATCCTTCTCACGGTCAAATGCTCGCTTGCTAGGGTCGTCCTCGGGCTCCGTGTCCTTTGTGGCTTGTTTATGCTGCTCCATAAGTGATGGCCCTCGCGACTTGTCCACATGCTCCTTGATCTTGCGATGAGCGTCATGTTCACTCGCGGCCTTGGTGGATTGTGGGCGTGCTCCACTACTGGGTGCTCCAATCCCCATCATCTCATCTGCTAGACGTTTGCGTTTCTGCTCGGGTGTCTCATGCCAGGTTGAACTATCGTCTGCTCCGGGATTCGTTGCTCGTGCGCCTTTGCCCGAGTTGAACGCTTTGGGTCTTTGTATCGAAGGGTCCATTCTCGCGGCGAGGTCGTCTTGCTTCGGAGGCATCGTCATCCAGTCGTCTCTCTTTGGCTTTGCAGTTGTTGCCGCATCAGTGTCGGCGAAAGCGCTGCCGCCATTGTCTGTTACTTCGCCGGTGCCCTGCTTCTTTCAGCAATTGTCCCGTATCTCTTCCTCGAATGTCAGTAAAACTCACGTCGTCACCAGTGGGCAGTGAAGGTCCAAAGTCGTCATCGTCGCTGCTTTCATCTTCACCTGCGTCTGCTGGCTCTAATGGTCTCTCCTCCAAAGGTGCAGGAGGCATCGCTGGTCCTATAACCTTCCGCCGCTTTTCTGGCCCATCTGGACTCTGTGACCGTTTTGCGCCGGAGGTTGTGGTGGACGTCTGTGAGGCCTGTTCTTCTTGCTGTCTCTTTCGCTTCGCGAGCAAGTGTGGTGGAAGCTCTGCGCCTATTCCCGACATATCTTGAATGCAGTTGTGGGGCGTGAAAAGTGTTGTAGTGATGGGAACAAGGTAAAGACGAAGCGGCGAGATTGAGTTGAGCTCGGGACGGCGATCCGACGGAGCTCCCACGTCAGGACAGTCTCACATGCTACACACCAGCAAAGTGCTCTCAAGCCAATTCCTGTCACCGTGATCTCGAGCCTTTTTAATCTTCCCAGAGACTGATCATGTGATGGTGCAGAATCCTTGAATCCGGTCTGCGGCGCGTACAATCTGGCTTGCCGCGTAWTTCCGAAGCTCGTGACCCACTCAACAGGACCAAGAGCACTGCACCAGCTTGGAGGAGCCCTGGCGACCGAAGTGCAATAGAATAAGCAATGCGCGTGGGAAGAGATTCTCGATGAGCTCTACCGCGAGAGCAGGCCAGGATGGCAGTAATGATGAGGATGGAGAGGATGACGAATCGGTGCTCAGCGACGAGGGATTTCCGACGGTAGAAGAGGGAGGACAGGAAGATGGCGTGGAGTATGGGGACTTCATTGAGCCTGCTATGCCCGGCGTTGAACGGGACGAGGAGGACGGGGTACTGCCAGCGGCTGGTGAGGGCGAGGCCATGGTTGGAGCGGATGCCGGCGAGGACGACATGCATCTCAGCAGGCAACAAGACGGACTACTGGAGGGAGAAGGCGACGATTCTGGCCCGGCCACCCCACTGGCGACGAGTCCGCTTGCTAGTCTGCAAGACTCCGGTTCCATCCCGGACGACACTCCATCTCTACGCGGATCGTGGGCCTCGTCCCCAGCTCGTGGAGCGTCTCCACTGGCTCGAAGAGGAGTGTCTCGAACTCCCTCGAGCGCTCTACAACCTTTCGAGCGCCGCTTCGAGACTAGATTGTCCGTATCACCATCAGCATCTCCCAGGGCACAGTCGCCAGCATTTCTCAGTCCGCATTCGAGACAGATATCGCTCTCTTCCAGACTATCTGGCATGTCCTCACAGGGCTCCGAAGCAGATTCAGAGACTCCTCAGGCGCCCTGGGATGTTATACGATGGACAAAACTCCGGAAAATCACAGCTCAGGTATTCTCAGAAGCCGGCAAGCGGAACTTTGGCCGTCCCACCTGCATAGCCGTATCTGCTCTCATAGCCATCGGCACTTCCAAAGGTCTTGTTCTGGGCTTCGACTATCATCAAACTTTGAAGATCATCATCGGACAGGGCACAAAGGCGACCGAGTGCGGATCAATAACTGCTCTTGCTATTGCTGCAGACTATTCCACCATCGCCAGCGGGCACGCGAATGGATCAGTATTCACCTGGGAGATCAACAAACCGGCAAGACCCTTTTTACACATTCCACCCATCGACAGGAGCGCCTTGCAGGAATCACAGCATCCTGATGGTCATGTTAGTAATTGCGCCATCCTTCACATTGGCTTCCTCGGCACAAGACATACAGCCCTTGTATCAGCTGATGCTGGTGGTATGGCGTTTTCTCATCTTGCCACTCGCGGTTTGGGTGCTGTTACCAGGTCAATCAAGACCACCCGGTTGCTTGGAAGGTACCCAGCGACCAACCCTCAAGTTGAGACGACCCGGAAACCCAGTTCTGTTCTCGCTTTCTCGCCACTTCCTCTCGGCAACGTCGAGCAGGCTACTGATGGTATGGGGTTGACTGCGCTACTTACTCCTTATCTGCTTGTGATAGTATCTACTACGCCCATCGCACAGACACAGCACAAGGCCTCACGTCCCAAGGAAGTGTCGCCTCATAGCACCCTCAGCGGATGTCTGSCATGGTTTCCCGCCGTCAAGCTGAAAAGCTCCAACGTCGATGCTGACAGGAGCAATTCTGATACCAAGCTCGTCTATTGCTGGTCCAACGTGCTCACGGTGTTGGATGTGAAGATCGTCGAGAATGACACCTCAATAGACCCGCAGAAACCTCCGAGTCTAGAGTTCCACGCACGGAGCCGATGGCGTGCGGATGAGGCTATAGTAGCCGTGCAGTGGCTTGGAAGATCTGTTCTGGGCATCCTGACAATCAGCCAACGACTTTTGATTGTGGAAGATGGCACCTTGCAAGTTACAGACTCGATCGACCTACTGCACCGGCATATTTACCACCAGGATCCATTCTCGCATCAACTACACGCTGTGATTGAACAGCTGAACTCAGACGACCCGTCGATGCATGGCGTCGTCGCGGATGCGTTCTACATGAGCTTTCGGGTGTACAAAGGAAGGACCTTTCTTCTTGGCTTCAACGATTTGACGGTAGGCACTCTGTCAAACTGGGCGGACAGGCTTGTGGCCATGATGGAAACTGGAGATCACATCGCGGCAATCAGACTTGCCACCGAATACTACACGGGAGGTGCTAACAACGTGACCATTGGTCTGCCTGAAAATGATCGTGCACGGCATACACTAGTAAAGGAGAGGCTACTTGCCATCATCTCAGCTTCGCTGAATTATACATTCTCCCAACAGGACAGTGCGCGAGAGACGAGGCTGCGGGAGCTGGCCGAAGTCTGCTTCGAGGCTTGTGTAAGTACGCAAGATCTGGATTATCTTTTCGCAGATGTCTTTGACTGGTTCCAAGAAGCAGACGAAGAGTCGGTTTTCATCTCCACGTTGGAACCATATGTCCTGGACGGAGAGGTCAAAATGCTACCGCCGGAAGTGGTAAAGGCCGTGGTTGCCCACTTCATTGGGGAGAATCAGGCGGCGCGGCTGGAAGAGCTACTCTGTCGATTAGACCCGCATGCCTTTGACCTGGACCAAGACACAACGCTCTGTCGGCAGCATAGCCTGTACGATGCACTGATTTATATATGGACACAAGCCATTGGCGACTATGTCACGCCATTGATCGATTTGCTCGCCCTGGTCAAATTGCTCGAGGGTAATGAAGATGAAGATTTGATCGAACATCCATTCTACGAGTCGACTGTGAAGGTGTTCCCCTACCTGGCTTATTCGTTGACTGGTCGAAGATATCCAAGCGGAGTTCTCGCAGATGATCACGAAGCACTCCGAGCGAAAGGCGATCTGTACGAATATCTCTTCGCGGGAAGTCCAATGGCATGGCCGCCCGGTAGTAATAAAGTCTTTCGAACTGCCAGCAAAGCAGATGAAGAGCCGGCATTTCCTTACTTGGATCTGCTGTTGCAATTCGATGCTGCGAGCTTCATGAGCATGCTCAACGAAGCATTTGAGGATTCGTATCTCAATGAAGCAGATGACGACTCAAGTCCGAGCGGTGTTCCTCCGCTGAATGGGATATCAAGCCGGAAGAAGAGCCGGCAACAGATCATCGAGATCATGCTAGACGTCATGCGTCAAGGCGACTTCAGCCTAGAGCAAGTCATCTATCTCGACATGTTTGTCGCACGCAGCTTGCCAAAGTATCCGGRCCAGCTCATACTTTCCGGAACACTGCTGAATGGCGTCCTGCAACGCCTTTGCAATCCCCCGTCACAGACCTTGCGAGACGATTGTCAACTGAGCGTGGAGTACTTGCTGTCCGCATATCACCCTTCAAACATACCCGCTCTGATCAAAGACCTCATTGACGCCAAATTCTACCGGATACTGAAGTCTGTCTACCGCGGCGAGCGCATGTTTACAGAGCTCCTCGAGACTCACTTTGCAGATCCTGAGGATAAGCAGAGCGTTTTCGACTGCATTACACAATGTTTACGTCCAAGCACGGCTCTGTCCGAGAAACAGGTACAGGCTATCAAGCGAGTAATCACAACACACATCCAGGAGCTGACCGATGTGAGCACCGTCTCAACATCTCGCACGCTAGCGGTCTCTGCTCCTGATTTACTGCAAGAAAGCGTGGATGCATTGCCCGATTCGCACCAACAGTTCATATTCCTGAGAGCTATGCTAGAACCAACCTTGCTTCGAGAGAACCACGCTATCGATTCACCAGTATCGACAGAGCAGGGCTCCAAATTCACAGAACAATACGTACAGCTCCTGTGTAAACACGATCCTGTTCATGTTGCGGACTACATCAAGATGTTACCATCCAGTAATTTGCGGCTTGATCGAGTTCTGCCAGCCATGGAAGAGAGTGGAGTCATCGATGCTGCAGTGGCGTTACTCGCACGGGATGGCCTGGCTCGTGATGCTATGGAGCGACTTGCTATACATATCCAGAGCCTCCAGCAAGCTCTGGTCGGCCTGGTCAACACCGCAGCGTCAAATCCGGACGTCACTGCTTCGCAGGAAACTTCGGATGACCTTGTCGAGGATCTGGAAAAATACACAAAAGTCGGTATCTGGTTGTGTCAGTCTCAAAGTGCCATCGTGGAGCGAAAGCCACGACCGAGAACAAACCTTGCTTGGACCATCCAGGAGGACGATCTCGACTTGGACGAATATCTTTGGCTAAATCTGGTCGACACTGTGGTCCAGGCTAGTCAAGAGGTCACAAGTGCGCTGAGGAATTTTGATGAACATGCCAGCGAGTATGGGAGCGATCGATTCAAGACTTCCAAGCTCATCTCATCACTAAGATCCAACACACAGCAAGCTTTCACTTCATTGCTGGCGGCAACAGCAACACCGGGTTCTGGGTTGAAGGTTTCCGATGCTAATCACAGCAAGCAGCCAGCAGACCACCTTGCCTTCTTGCGTGTCCTAAGAGCATTTCTCACACGAGCTGCGAGGACTGCTCCATCTTTGGCTGAACTGCGGGCTGTCCTATCAGACATATTCTCAGCCTACACATTCGAGCAGGGAGTTCTATCATTAGCGAACGAGCTCCTCGGTTCAGATGTCTTTAGCGATATCCAAGAAGCAAACAGCCTTCGACAGCGCGGCTGGCGACCACGAACTCAAGCCTGTGAGCGATGTAGGAKACGGGCGTGGGGACCAGGTACCGGGGAAATCGTGTATGAGCAATGGCTTATACGAGAACAAGAGCGTGAGGCGGGAAAGGCACGGAAAATTCTAGAGCAGAGTGGTGGAGAGGAGGCGAGACGTCTTTCCAGGGGTAAAGCCAAGGCTTCGCCTACGACAGCTACCGAGAGCAGTATGAGTGACAGTGGGGATACTAGGCGGTTGGCACTGGTGGTGTTTGCATGCCGACACGTCTTCCATCGCGTGTGCCTCGATGAAGAATATCGAGATGGAAAGCCGTCGAAACGAGAGACGTATAGATGTCCGCTTTGTATAGAATCCGCATGAATTTAGCGATCAGTCGAGCGCATTCAGCTTCTGACATTATTCTGCTCCTCTATTGCAAGGGGTGCTCTATGCTCACATGCAATGCAACCTCATGTGTGCTCGGACCGAATGTCTGGATCACTCATCCTGCAGGATGCAGCTCAAATATGAACATCAGCCCCAACCTAATCCACTCACTACCTTATCTTCCACAAAGCTTACATCCCTCCCAAAGAAACATCCTTCAAAAGTCACACATAATGGCCCAAACACAAATATCCAACCCAAACCCCTTCGAGCCAACCCAAACTCCAACACCCAACAACAACCCCAACCCACGAGACCAAAAACTCGCCTCCGAATTAGAATGGCTCTCATCCGCAGGAATAATCGCCGTAAACTCAAGAGACTGGTCCCTAACCTCCCCCCAAATGCGCAAATCCCTCGAACATCTCGCCTGGGATTTCCGCGCCCACCACGACAATTTCCCGCGAAGTCTAACCTTTGAAGAAAATATGGCTTCGAGTCGTCATCTCGCCGAACAAGATCCCTCATTTCATTTGGAAATTGTGCACATGTCGACGATTATTCAGGAGAATCGGATGGAGGCTAGTGTGTGGATTGAAATGGATGTTACGGGGGTAAGTCCTGGGGTCGTTATGAAGGGGTTTAGTGAGTTGAAGTGGAGGTTGAGTGGGGAGGATGGGAAGTGGTATTGTTATAGGCATTTGGGTATGAGGGGGAGTTTGATGAGTGGGGGGATGATGTGATTTTCTTGGGAGGTGTTTCTGGGGGTTTCTTGCTATTGCTTCTTCACACTCTCGCGAGTGTTTAAGATTTCATCGTTGTTGTGGACAGGACGAAGAAGTTGCAGCTGCTGCGGTGGAAATTGTGTATCAAGCTCCGAATCTCAAAAAAGGGGGCGGCAGAGACAGGCAGTTGAGAGATTTCACTCAATGGCGATAGCGAGGTGTTATGAATACATCGGTGTTGAGTCTGCTGTAGTCCTCAATGCGTGCTCACGACCAGCCGAGCCGACATTGATGCAAGATGTATAAATAGGGTTAGGGTTGGGGTAGTGACATGAGGGCACAACATCCTCCATCGTAATCACACACGATATTACTAGCGCCTGCGGACATTCTTCCAGCATCTGGCCACGGCTTGGAAGAGAATGGTGTTCGTGGGAGGCACATGGCGGTTTGACATTTTTTGCTATTCCCGTTGTGAAACTTTCGACGTGTTGGCAGTTTGGATGAAACACTGCAGACAGAGACACAAAATGCACTGATGAAAGTCATTGAATCTATAACGAAAGTCCCTTTTTACAACGCCTCATACCCCCAAAACATCGCTCAAAGATCTCCTGTTCCAAGCGTCCCATATGCCTCTGACCCCCTCGCCTGCTGATGCCTTTTGCGGCAATGCTCCTTCATCTTATCTCCACGACGATTTCTATGCAAACAGCTATCGCACGCATACACCACACCGATCTTATGGACACTCGCCATGTGTCGCTTGAGATCGGCAGACCGGCGGCAGGGAGTTCCGCAATCATCGCACGTGAAGACCTTTGACCGCTGCTCGGCTCTATACTTGGAAATCTGACTGACGTGCTTTTCAATCTCCCTTTTTGGGGGAACATCTTTTCCGTTTCCTCTCCCATTCAAGGGATAAATAGGGCGCTCCGCCGCGTGATTCGTGGTGTTGTGCATGCCTGGGTTCTCCTCCCACGTTGGGAGAACTTGAGAGTCGGGTGACGTGCTTTGCGATGCATACATAGGGTACTGCATATTCTGATTCACCAGAGCCAGGTTGCTAGAAAGCAGGGTGGTGTGACAATTCAATTTCCCGGATCCTTTAAGAATCAGTCCTGAACATCGTAGATTAATAAAAGCATTGACGAACTCTCGGCTGAGGATCCCTCAATAAGCCCGTCACCCATCCWCGAGCCGCAGCCCGCCGTGTCGGACAAGGTACAGGCATCGCGGTTGAAAGACTTGGATAGACCAATGAGCTGCTCGTCAGGATAAGTGTTGGAGCCTGCAAGCTGGTCGCTAGAGCAGCTTTCGAAAGTCTGGAGTGCAGCTTGATACCTATGCTACTGTCAATGGTGGAACCCAGCTCATAGCATTCCAGAGACCATCGTACCACAAGTCTTCGGGGTCTTCTCCAAGAGAAGAGAAGTCTTCAATGAGATCTGAGCTGAGTGGACTAAGGGTATCAAGATCTGAATAGGAGAGAGTTTGAGATGGTGTGTATGACATGACCACAATATGAGAGATACAAAGGCAAGTAGCCAGACAATATCGAGGCTGGGATGCCTGGTTAAGATACGGTTGTACGTATAACGCCCTCGAAAGGGCAACACTTACTGAGGCTGGCGGGCGGCCACTCACTGTCGTGGCCTGAAAATTCAGGGAAGCGAGTGGCCAGAGCCAGAGCGAACCCCGGCGAGATCTCGAATGCCACAGGCCAATATATCGCGTTGTTGCTCGAGGGTGACGTTGCGGACAGAGGGCGGCGTATGTAACGACTGCCAAGAGAAAGAGGGCGGCCATTGACGTGCAAACTGGGAGCGGCGGAGCCGTTCTATCCGCGGTGTGTGTAGGCAGTGCAAAAATGCGAGGCCGCCCTCATGCGTTGCTCCGCCCGGGATGAAAAGGTAAGAGAGCAAGTGTAGCCTGAGGTTGGAGGCCGCCGCCAGTATCAAGTCGCTTTGAGATCTCGATGCTTGGCACATCGAAGGATCGTGAATCGTGACTTGGGATCAGCTGGCGGCTTCGCTACTTTTGCTTCTACTTGACAAGTCAAACAAGGGGAAAGTGACAGACAGCTCGAGTTGCTACTGTCGGCCCATGTTCCAGAGTTGTGTCGCGTTGAGTGTATGGCATTCAAGCGTGGCTCAGCGTGGATCTTGCTCTGCTTGCGCATGAAACTCCTCCGACGTGTCGATCGGCGACGGTGGGAGCAACAATGGTGATCTCGCGTCAATCCCAAGCGGAGATGGCATGTTGGGCAGCAAGGCAACTCGTTTGGGAGTCGAGAGTGCCGTGGGAAGTATTGATCCGAAGAAGGTCGAAACAAGAGCGCAATTCCAGCGCAAAACGAGGGGTGGAAATTTGGCAATTGTGCAAGAGAACAAGCAGACATCCATCATCTGTGTGGAATCCAGCGATTGATTGTAAAAGGACAGCCGCGAACTCATATACTTTACTGTCTTTCCCAGCACATGAGATGATATATGGCGGAACTTGCATTTTTGGCTTCGTAGGAGCTTCCCTCACCGGTGAGGATGGATGCGCTACACCCTCATTCAGCTCGTATCGCGCTTCGAAATCAGCAGACGCGCCAAGGAGGATGCGCTAGAAAAACGGGCGAAGAAGAACCGCACGGGTCTTGCGAGGGCGACCTTTGCAAGTCCAGACTGCCAGCCTTGCGATGCATGTTTACGCAAGGCTGCAGTAGTCATGCTGCTCCACGGGGCGGCCTCCTCAGCCCTGGTCACCGGTCTTCTGATGACCCTTCCCATCATGAGTCGCCGAGCATTCCTTCAAGAGGCTGCTCGAAAGTTGCGTGTGAGGAGGAAGAGAGAACGAAGGAGGTGGGAGGTCGACGACTTTACGGAGTAAGCTCGGGCCGTTGCACGCCATCACATGACGACAATGCCGATTCACTCATGTGTGTTTAATCTATCTGCTCTACCTTGATCCCAAATGTACACTTGCTATGCAAATCTATCAAAACCGCCCTAGTAATTCGTCTATTAATGTTCGCTGTGTGCGTGAGAATCGAAATCGCTTCCTTTACCGCCTTGGTTGCCCTCCTGGTTGCGAGACGTAGGGACTTCGWTTGCCGCCCTGCTGCTGTTGCTGTGGATTGAATTGAACACCATACCCGCTACCCTGGGCCGCCAGATGTGAACTCGTCGAAGGTGGCACACTGTAGCCTTGCTGAGTCTGTAGAGGCCCATACCACGACGCACGACTCTGCAGCTGTTGGTGGTACTGCATCTGAGCATGTTGCTGCTGAGCAAGTAAGGACTGCTGATAAGCCATTTGCTCAAACTGTTCCGCCTGTAGACGCTGTGAGTACCGCAACTGCATCTGATATTCCGACTGAGCTTGAGCGTGGGCTTCCATCTGGGCTTGCTGTTGTCTTGAGTATATCGCCTGCTGTACCGCTCCACTTCGAAGGCCCTGACTCATGGCAGCCTTTTCGCGCTCGCGGTTCTCCAAAGCTCCGATCAAGCCTGATCGCTGCTCCTGGGTTCCCTTTGGACTAGACGCCATGTTGATKAGCGGAGTGCCTGTCGAACGCGCAACGAGCATCTGCTCTTTTGCAGTCAATGCCGAGGTTGACAGGTTTGCCATGGAATGGCTATTGCCCTGAGCCAGATATATCCCCGCCCCTCTCGAGTTGGGTCGGCTTGGTGGGGTGCGGAGCCGTCCCTGTTGAGTCCAATCACCAGATGGGCTTCTAGAGAATGGCGGTGGAGTCTGGTTCATGGATTGGCGCGATCTGCTCAGGATCGGGGAGGAACTTTGGCGTTGATGCGCAAAGACCGGAGTCGAAAGTTTGCGTATCGGGGCCTGCTGTGGTTGCGATGCAACCGAAGCCCGCCACTGCACCCACCGCTCTGGAGACAATGATTGGCGAGTAGCATCGCCCGGGGTGGTAGCACCAGGACTCCATGCTACGATATTCGGATGATCAGGAATGTTTGCAGCGTCAATGCCGGTAGGTGTTGAACGACCACCAAAATATGACGGGCGATGGGTCTCGACTGGGCTTGCAGCGGGTGCTCCAAAATACCCACTAAGCCTGTCCTTGGAACTGGCTCTGAGCCGATCTCCCGAAGACATTCGTCTCGATCGCCGCTTATCCATATCGCCTTGGGTAAGGGTGCCGCTGGTGCCCGGACGGCTGGTCGGCTTGTATGCATAAGTGGGGCCAAAGTCTACAGTGGGTATTTCAGCATTCTGTTCGTCGAGTTCCTTGTTATAGGTATCGAATTTGCCAGCACCACCAGATCGAGAGTACACAGCCGGCATGTCAGGATCGCCAACAGTCTTCAATTTGCCTGCTCGCGGTTTCTCGCCTGTCGTTTGCTTCTTCGACTCATGATCCGAAGTGCTCACGCTGCTGGCATAGTCGGGGGTGACTGACGATGCTATTGTGCTGGTGCGACTGTCGTTTTCTAATATACGTGCTAGGGCCTCATCGTCAATTACGCCGTCAAAGTAAAAGCCATCGTCTGGCGAAGGTGACGAGCTTGCAATGGGCTCCGAGTGACGAACCTGAGATGTTTGGGAGGCAGCCTCGTCTGCTCCTTGCGGTGCCAGCTTGGGCACTGGCTTTCTGCTGATGGAGGGGTTTGATTGTACTGACACAATCTCTGGTTGCTCGGCGGCCTGTGGTCGGCTACCATTGTCCACAACACCGTCCATGGAGCTTGCGTTGAAGTAGGCATCGCGGTGGGAAACCTCTGGTGAGGCAGGAATGGTGCTAAGCCGCTGTCTAGCATCCCGCTGTCCATTCTCATTTCCATAATGGACCACACCCTGGGACCTGGCGACCTGCAGCATCTGTTGATGGTAGGATGGGGCATCGTGTGGAGATTGTTCGGAATTGTTATCGCTATTCTCATCGTCTTTTGGTCGCGCAGCCTCATGCATTTGATGAAGTGTTTCCGCGTCGACGTTCGAGTGTGCACGACGAAGCTCTGGAGCTTGATAGGGCTGGTTGTGTGGACGGCTGCTCGGGCTGTGGGTGAAAGCAGGTGGGGAAAGAACGGGCGCTGGTGGTGGAAAGGCTGGCTGTACGCCCCCTATTGCTGCGGCTTGCTCGTATGGAGATGCAGTGCCATTGCGATCGTTCGACATGGCACGTTCGCGCAAGTCCGCCGGCGGAGAGCGACCAGCAGAGAATGCACCGCCGTGCATTGGTGGCGATGGAGGATCATCATTTCTCCTGCCCATATCTTCCGACAATCGCGACGAGTTCTCCTCACTCATGTGCTTGCGATAGCCGTGCACGTCCGAAACAGCACGTTTGTGCGAAGTCATTGGCAGCGCAGACGGAGGTGCGGAATCAGTGCGTCTCGGCGGTCCGTAGGCCGTAGAAGGTGGTCCTGGGGATCCGCTGCGAGATGCCGGCGTCGAGTGAATGGGTAGCTGCTGAGACTGGAACTGCAGTGGCCCTCGCACCGGTGGCAGMGAGTTACGACTCGTGCGGCGTGAWCCAATTTGACGGCTACTGCGTGGGGATCCCTCCATGTGCGCTGCCAATCTGGTCGACGTGAGCTTCTTCATTTCCTTGCGCCATTGCCTCTCGCTCCAATTCTGGCTCCCTTCGGTGTGTATCAATCCGGAAACATCAAGAGTGTCCAGATATCCATAACGTCTGTCTTTAGGCATGGCAAACATCAGTCCACGCTGATCAAGCGTGTCCGCAATCAGTCGGGCGGGTCTTCCGTATAGGCCGAATGTGTCGTAGACCGGGAACAGCCACCTCAGCATCATCTCAAATCCGCTGACAGCAGCGTGCGCTTCGGGCATGACGAAAACGAAGCCTTCTGTGGTGGTTTCCTGCCCGGTGTGTATTGTGACCAAACCCTCTAGCTTCACCAAAGTCGACTGATCAATCAAAGGCTTCGACTGCGGGTAGATGGCATAGGCCGCGTATGCGTCCTTGATGGTCGCGATTGGCCTTGTCTTCTTCGTCACTTTACGAGTATCGTAGAATTTRATGTTGCCCTTGGGAAACTCTGCACGGCTATACGCAGAGCCCTTCTTCAACATCTTTTGTGCTTTGGCAAACTCCTTCTCGTCCGGAGGGTTGATGACGCACCAGCAGCGTTTCCACACCGTCCCAGCGCCGAATCTCACTCGTGCCCAATCATCATGAACAAACTTGGAACGATCCATAATCTGCTTGATGTTGTTGAGATAGCGGCCCTTGCCCGCAATGAGAGAGCCGGTGTACGCTTCCTGGAGTGTGGCCAGCTCGAACATGGCCAGCCGGATGCCGGCTGTCCACTGCGTAAGCGAGTTCAGCGTGTTGAAGTGGAGCAGGTATCGGTTGTTGGCCGCAGTGGAAATGCTCAGCACGTTCTGCAGGGTGCCACCTTGGGCTCCGTTCATGGGTAGCGATTCGATCTGTGGGTCACGTCAGATGAGTTTGGTCGGCAGGTAGTGAGGCTCTCACCATCTTAATGGACGCATCGCTGAGGTTAATGAAGGTTGGCACGACCTGACCGTCTTCCCCGGCAGCGTCCAGGGCAGCCGCGTCCCACAATGATAACACAGTACCTGCAAGCTGGGCGAAGCATTCGTTCCATACCCTAGACGGGCTCGGACGGCCCCGGGAGTCGAGATCATGTAGCTTCAAAAAGTAGCCTTCTTGGTATAATTTGTTGCCGTGACTGTTCAAATAGCTGAAGATTGGCTGCAGCTCAGGTGGGGTGTCTGCTGCAACTTCCATCTGTGGCGGCTGGAAGGTCTGTATCATGCTGTTCGGCCGCGTGCTCACCCGGGAGTCGCCTCTTGATCTCGATGGTGTGGTTGGGGAGCGGGGGGAGCGCTGTGCAAACGTGTCCGATCTCAGCTGGGCGGCGACTGGGCTCGCGGTGTCGATGTTCAGCGGTCGTTGCTTCGGAGGTAGGTTCTCGGGGTTGGGGGAAGGCGTCTTCCGCAGTTTGGATTGCTCTGCGTCGTTCATCGTACCGGTCGTGCGTAGTCCGCCTTTGTCGCTCTTGTCACTTCCCCATTGCGACATGAAAGACAACACTGGAGCAACGTAAGCAAGGGATTTCTCCCGATCGATTGGTTCAATGTTACTAACCACGGCTGCGCGGCATGATGCTTGTGCTTTCTGTTGTGCAACGATGTGGATGTGTACTCGCTGTCTGGCACCGGGATGGTCGGATGATGCTGTGATCGTGCTCCGGCTTCTCAAACGAGTGTATGGACGATAGCAGTAAGAACGATCAGGATGGGCGGAGGCAGTGGCTTTGAGTATTAAACTGTAAAGTATCCAAGAGCTTGAGCAATTCGATGATGACGTCCCGAATTCCGCGGAGGAAGATGTTGAGTGAGAGAGGTACCGCACTGTGAGATGCTGGACCTGATTGATTCGCTAAAGGCTTCGGAAGGCGCTCACGGATGTTCTCGAGGATGTCAGGCAGCACACAGCACGAATGCAGGAGATGCAGAAGAGGACAACCAAATGTCAGATGCGTGTCGTCGTCGTCGTCGTTCTCACAATTAGCATCGCTAGCATCGGTAAAGCCTGGTTCCGCTGCCGCTACGTTCCTAAATGGGGTTTGATTTGGCCGCTCGAGGCCCTGCCTGCCAAGCGCAGAACGCGTATTCACTATACGAAGGCTATGCGGCACTGCAAGCACCGTGTCGCTAAATGCACAAAGGACAATGGCGTGAGCGCATTCGCCCAATGCAGGTGGCCCTCCCAGATGCTTCAGGCTCAAAGCAGCCCACCTCAAGGACGGCAGCGACCAGATCTCAAGATCAAGTACCCATTCTCGATGATCGAACGGTTGTATCCGACGGACTCCGAAGGGCGAAAGTGTTCGCACAATGAAGAACTACAGCCTGATGTCATTGGTGGTTGGGGATCGTTCATATCATTGCATAGGTTTCCAGCCTTGAGACAGGTGGCGGAACTCGGCTGTTGCCTCTGGTGTGCATGATTGGCGGTGAGCGCGGCGAGAGCTGTGTTGGTCCGCCGATTGAGACTGATGCGTATTGAGACGAGTGAGTGAATGCGTGAAGTTCTCACGTTTTCGCGGAAGGTTCTCGCGAGCTTCTGGTGAACCTCCCGTCGACTTTGTGGACAGAGTTCCACCTTCCAAATCAACAACCCGCAACCACCACCACAACATCCCCGTCAGACGCGTCCATTACACGCGCAATCCTTCGACTCGGTGCGGCGACTGTCGCGACATCCTTGCAAAGCGCTTCCGCGCGAGTTTTGGAACGCGTCACACGCGATCGCCATCAGCCCACGCGCTCCACCTCTCTTCAACCCTACCCTTCATTCCAATCAGCATACTACGCCGCCGACGCGCTCACCGTCGCGATCGTGACCTCACCATGCGCACCAAGCAAACCAGCCACAAAGGCGACGCGACATCATCTTCCAACGGAATGGCCAGCGCAACACCAAAACGCATGCGCCAGAATGCGCCGGCAGATATGAGGTCGCCGGCGCAGCCTCCGGAGCTGTCAGATTCGGACAGGGACAAGTTGAAGATATTCTTGGACCGAGCCGAGAAGCCATTTACCGTGGCGACCTACGCGACGTCGGGGAAGAAGCGCAAGCGAAATGCGAAGACTTACACACTGCAAGAAGACCTTTGGCAAGATCGACTTGCTGTGCAGTACGATGTGAAGCCGAGGGATAAGTGGGAGAGTCTTCGGCGGTATAAGAAGTTTACGGGTGAGTTTGTCGGCTTGCTTCCCACCATGCGAAGACGTTCTAACGGGAAAGCAGTTGGGTCGGAGAGTATCGCCACAGGACAATGTATCTTGGTGAAACACGACGAGCGCGAGGAAGCTAAGATCGACGTTGCGAATCAGTGGAAAGCCAAGGTGTTGGAAGTTCGAGCGCTGGACTCGGAGCATGTCTACATTCGTGTTGCATGGCTGAACCGGCCAGAAGATCTCCACGCGGGACGCAAACCATACCATGGCAAGAATGAGCTGATTCCAACGAATCAAATGGACGTCATTGATGCAATGGCCGTGAATGGCAGCCTTGAGGTCAATCATTGGGACGATGCAGAGGACGAGAGTGCAATGTTGGAGGACGACCAGTTCTTCTGGCGACAGACCTTCGACTTGGTCAACACGGGCACATTCTCAGTGAGTACTTTTCGGTGCCGGAAAGCCTCACATTACTGACTGGTAAGAAATTGCGGTTGATTTGCATCGACTCTGCGCCGCAGAATCCCGATGAACTGATTCTTCAGTGCTCGAACGAGACTTGTCGGAAATGGTTGCACGTCAAGTGTATAGCCGAACGCGCAGCGCAGCAAGCAGGTACGCTCCCTCACGAATTCCCCTCCCTATCATTTTATTCTGACTTTCGACACGTAGATAGCCACGCATCTGGGAAGCAGAATGGCGTGAATTCCGCGGCCAAGAAGCGCGGCCGTCCCAAAAACCCCAGCATCAGCAATGACTCGTCGGCAGTTGCCAAAGCTGTCAAAGGCAAATTCAGCTCGGAAATCTTCATCAAAGATCTGCCGCAAGGGCCCGACGTCACGCCTGCAACAAGTACCGAAATCATCGTCACAGACGACAAGGGCGTGCAGTATTCGGAAGAACTTTGCTGTCTATTCTGTGATCAGGCTGTCAAAGATTGATCGGCTGTTTTGGAGAGACCGTTCGCCACAAACCCTCCGCGTGGAGGAAATGCAGCACGCTAAGGCAGGAGTGCATAAGAGCGAGAACTGCATGAAGCAAACATGGCGGTGGGTCCCACGGCCGCCCGGGGCGCCACGACTATCAACAATGCTTGCGGTGGGTCATCTTGAGAGCTGCGACCAGCGTCCCCTAAAAGCCTGAACTGCCGACAGCAATTCTGTTCTTTGACGACGTCAACGAGGGCTTGTTTTCTGATCCGCAAATTTCTGATACGATTCTTCGCGACCCGGTCTAGTCGCCGCCTCCTATCCAGGATTCCGATAGGTGCGGTCATAGCATATGGAGTAGTGGGAGTAGTGGCCGGCGGCCGCACTATTCGAGGCACGGCCAGGCGGATCGGGTCGAAGGCGCGCTTATGGTCTGCCAGCAGACATATCACAGGTACTTCCAGGAAAACACACTATGCTTGAAGGTAGAAACGACTATTGACATTGGACACTCTCTGCCTTCAGTTTTTGAGGCACTGGAGTTATACATGAATGCTAACACTGCCCCCAAATGCAATGCAGGTCAACGTCTAGGTAAGCATCGTCCCTCATAGAAAGAGGGTAGACCGCCCCGGAGAATTTCTCATTGCAACAGATTAGAGACTATAGTAGTTCTTTGCACGGGCGCGACTGTTCCCGCGCACTATGCGATTGCATGTCAGAAGAGGCTCGGACGAGAATATACCTATTATTGATGGTGCATTGGTCATGCATGCAACATCTTTTCGGTGCTGGTGGAGTTCGTGCGACTTAAACAGACGGATAAACTTTAAGAAAGTGGTCGTCTGCACGCTGCAAATGATGTTGTGCATGCAGATTGTTGAGGGGATGCAGGGCCCAGGACTCCCATTCGGACGATTTGCGTGAACTTGTCTCGGCCAGGGCAAGCCGAAGAGAAGCCATGCGTTTAGTTCCAAGCGAATCCAATGTGCTCAGAGCATCAGTCATCCTTTGAGCTCCGTACAGATGTCAGGACGCGCCACGACCACTGCTGAGCACCGGTGGCAAGATTACCGTCGCAAGCGGGTCGCTGTCACTGCAGCAGCTAAGCCTCCGTAACTTGTTCCTGGCACGTATGGGGGCGCATGTCCCCTGCTTATTGGAATGCATGATGCACGAGCGGCCGAGCACTAGCGTTTGCAACTACCTTACTCATGGCCTACAGATGGTCGGCCAACCGGTAAGATCTTCATCYCTTTCGCACGCTTCATTCCAGGTCTACTTCGTTCAATCACACCTCTTGTGCTTGCCTTCCTGGTGCAGTACTGCGAGGCGACGCCATAATCAGGAGCAGCCAACTCACCCGTGGGCGGTCACACCTCTCCAGTCGGTCCTTACAGTGCGTTGCAACTTCGTCGCGCAGTCTCCAGCAAACCAAACAACTTCTCGATCTCCGCTGGAATCTTCCGCGGAGGTATTCTCAGCACCGTCTGCGGTCTGAGCGGTTCAGGATTTGGTGGAGCGCGACCGTCGCCAAAATCGCAAATGAGCGCCCCACTAGAGAGCCCCGCCGGCAACAGCGGAGAGCCCAACGACCAACCACAAACAACCCAAGAGCCCACTCCGAGTGATAGCAATGCTGAGACAGCGGTCGTCGATGGCACAGAGAAACCCGAGACAAATGGAACCACACCTGCCGTTGACAGCGCTGCACCAATGCCTGCCGAGGTGAGCAACGGCACGCAGCCAACTGAAGATAGCAACATCCAAGCGCAAGGCAGCACACCCGTGGAGCCAGATCTGAGGCCGGCCGTGTTGATTGTCGGAGGACTTGGTACGCCTTTCGACATTGGACTTGATGTAATGGTTCACTGATGTCAAGACAGGCTATATCGGCCGCTTCCTCGCCAATTACATACACCAGAACAAACTGGCATCGACCTTGCGAATAGTTGATAAGCAGCTCCCGCAGCTTGCTTCGCTCGCATCAGAACACAAGGAGGCATGTTCTGTGGAGAGGTGCGTCCAGGCCGACGCATCGCGCGAACAGTCGCAGCCGCGCATCTTCGATTTACCGGCAGCACCGGATGGTACGAAGAAGCAGTTTGACTATGTATTCAACTGCGGCGGCGAAACGCGCTACTCGCAGGAAGACGAGGTGTACAAGCTGCGTAGCTATGAACTGRGCTTGGCTCTGGGAACAGAGGCCGCTAAGCGAGGCGTGAAGGCGTTTGTAGAAGTGAGCACGGCTTCCGTCTACAATCCGAACCGCTCGCCTCAAAAGGAGACGGACAAGACGAGCAAGCCACACACCAAGCAAGCGAAGTGGAAGCTGGCCGCTGAGGAGGCATTGGGGAAGATTCCGAAATTGAACCTTGTTATCCTTCGCTTGCCAAATGTATACGGACCATATGGAGGCAGATGGCTAAGCACGCAACTGGCGCTCGCGCGGGTCTATCAGAGTCGAGAGCCGAAAGAGACAATGAAGTGGTTATGGAGCGGAGATCTCAGAACCAACACTCTTCACGTGGAAGACGCAGTACGGGCGTTGTGGCAAGCTGCCGTGTGGAGGTCGAAGAATGACCGGATACCCAACGTCACCGCCGACAGAATCATTTTCAACGTGGTGGACAAGGGTCAAACGACACAGGGAACCGTGGCTGGTATCATCAAGCAGGTTTTCAGCATCGAGACGGGCTTCTACAATGCTTTGGTCAACACATTCGCTCGGCTGAATCTAGAGCATGTGGTGGATGATGTGAATGACGATACTCTGGATGACTGGGCAGACTTGCAGGAAGCTGCCGGCATCAAAGGGAACGGCGGACCTTTGAGCCCGTTCATGGAAAAGGAGATTCTGAGAGATGCAGACCTGAGTGTTGACGGCAGTCGATTCGAAACGGTTGTTGGCTTTCGGTGAGTAACAAGCTTCGTCGCACGACTTGGTGATTTCGGCTGACAATTGCAGACCACAGCATGAGCGTTTGAGCAAGGAGGAGGTGGAGGCCGTCATCGAAAGCTTCCGGGCGATGAAATGGTGGCCCTGATATCGACTGGCGCGACATGTACATGCTCGATACGGCCTCGATGTGTTTTAATAGCATAGCGTTTTACGGCGACTTCTCTTTTTCACAAATACCATGGATACGGCCACGGGCGGTCCTTTGTTGGGGGTGGCCGCGGATGGGAGTGACGTTTGGAGTACAAGGAGGCATCGAATGGCTGGCATTGCCTCTGTACCTATTTGAGCAGGACAGTATTGATATCCCAAGAGTCTCATTTTCGTCTCTGAAGTGGAGGTGGTTGAACAGGAACAAACAAGGAAAGCCGAATGAGGATAAGTTGCTTGGGACGAGCAATGTCTGGAACTGTGCGATCTACCCGGTGAAAGGCATCCTTGTATCACCACAGCGGCTCCTTTGCCGCCCAGTTGGTACCCTACTAGCCGTTGAAGTTGCGTTGTATCACTTCCGACTGCTGTTTAGCTGCATGCGCCAGCTGATTGGCCACAGCCTGCATAGCTCGAAATCCAGCACAGCGTATCAGCTGTCAAGGGTCACCAACACCACTCCGACCGCACCTAGCCTCGACGATCGTGAAACACTGACCACGAGTATACCAAACTCACGTTGCGATAGAGAGGATGTGATGAGGGCCTGCCGTTGGTCGGCAGCGGTCTCAACAAGGTTGCTTCCCGGAATGACATGGATCATGCTACATCTTGGCTTGCAGAAGCCGCGAGAGCACCTCCGCCTTGATCCATCTTTGCAAGGCCACTGGCGGAGAGACGCACGGAGCCCAGTTCCGCGAAGGCCCAGGTCTTGCATCGCGCTTCAAAGGCGTTTATTATTACCCCCACGCGCGCGTGTGAAGAATTGCGAGACCAGGAGACATTTCTCCTCAAAAGTGCCAGCTTGGTCTTCCCGGTCAACTCGTGTCTGATCACCGTTTCCATCTCGCGTTTCGTTTTCTTCTCGATTTTCTAGAACTACACAGGCCTGGTGCCTTGTTCGTTGCTGCTTCCTTTCTAGCCACTCATTTTTACAAGATGCACTTTTCTACACTCATTATCCTATCCGCCACCTTGGCCAACCATGCTCTGGCCGGGTATGTCTTGGAAGATGACTACATGTCGGCAGGATTCTTCGATCAGTTCTCGTTCTGGGATGGCGAGGATCCCACGCATGGTTTTGTGGAATATCAAAGCAGATCCTCGGCGCAGAATATGGGGTTGATCAATGGCACGTCTGGCAACATTCAAATGAGTGTGGATAGTATCAACAATACTCCTCACGGGRGACCAAGTGTTCGAATCACGAGTAACAAGTCGTACAACTACGGTCTTGTAGTCGCTGATATCGCGCATATGCCTGGTGGTATATGTGGTACCTGGTAAGCTCTATCTCGACCAAGTTTATTATACAAAGTCTGACATGCTATAGGCCTGCGTTCTGGATGCTTGGTATGTGATACATTTTGACAGACAGGAGCCTTACTGACTTTGATCCATCAGGTCCTGATTGGCCCAACGGAGGAGAAATCGACATACTCGAAGGAGTGAACGATCAGATCGCCAACTTCCACACTCTACACACGGGACCTGGCTGCTCCATCTCCAACAATGGTGGCTTCTCCGGCAGCCTCACACATTTTACCTGCGCTTCCAGCGGAGACGAGAACACCGGATGTCAAATCGCAGCAAGTGACAGCAAGAGCTATGGCAGCGGCTTCAATGCCAACGGTGGTGGAGTCTACGCCACAGAATGGACAAGCTCCTGCATCAATATCTRGTTCTTCCCGCGAGGTTCCATCCCGTCCGATGTTCTCGGTAGCGACCCCAACCCATCAACATGGGGAGCTCCGACAGCGAAATTCGAAGGAGATTGCGATATGAGCAAATCCTTCAGAGACCAACAGATCGTATTCGATACCACCTTCTGCGGAGACTGGGCAGGAAACAACTGGTCGTCGAGTTCGTGCTCTAACAAAGCTGCTACTTGCGATGCATACGTGCAAAATAACCCCGAGGCTTTCAGAGAGGCCTACTGGTCTATCAATGCCCTCAAAGTCTACAAACAGGGAGCAGCGGTCACCACCCCAGCGGCTCCGAGTTATGCGACTTCGACATCGATACATTACGTTACTCAGCCCATTTCAATATCGCTTGGATTGTCGTTGGGTCTGCCTTTACCAACCACCCTCGCACTGTCGACCAAGTCGGAGGGCTACGCACCTATTGTGGGACCTGGGGGAGGTGTTGGTTACGCAAAACCTACGCCAAGCCCGGCTGCGCCTTCAAATGCTGGATACGCTCCTGTTGTTGGTGTCGGTGGGGTGATTGGAGTTCAGGAGAAGGCTGCGTCGCCGAAGGAGGGTGGGTCGTGGTCTACTGAGAACGGCGCTGCGGTGTTCATTGGAAAGGAGAAGAGACACGCAAACCATTTGGGACGTCACAAGAGGCATGGAGGTGGGAAATTGTAGATGACTGGACTTTTTCCTGCATTGCTACACTTGTACATTCTTCTTCATGTCATCGAATTGCGAGCGCCTCCCACAGCTCACTCGCTGCTTTATTCGGTGATTTCATTCGCTGTCATTTCCGTCCTTTCCGCGTCGATTCCGTGCATATTCGCGGCGAGCAATTGCAGGCAGACCTCATCCGTCCAGAGTCGACTCGATGCTGTACTTCAAGCGATAGCAATCCATGCTGCCATGCTCGTGGAATTCGCATTGGGCAGCTGCTTTCAGAACCATGTTTGAGGAAGTCATAAACATTAGCTGTGCAATCTCGAATAAGAGGGACGGGTCATCCTCCTCGGACAAGAGACGTCTTGCGCCTGCCATCAGGTGAATGAGAAGCTTGCGTGCGGTGGATCCTGGCGTGGTTGTGCGGAACAAGTTGACTCTTGCAGCAAGACAAGGGGTCCACCACCATTTGTTGGGTCCTCGCCTGAGTGTTGAAAACGCCATGGCGTCGACGACTGCGTCTTTGAAGTCTCCATCCATCAACTTGTCGCCCAAAGTGTACGCTGCGTTGAGTCTGGACCACATCTTCGTACCGCTTTCGGTTGATCTACCATCCTCTGTCCTCATCGACTCGCTCGGCTCGAGACCAATCGCTAGATTGTGGCGATATATCCAGTTCAGCCAGACGGAGAACGAATCAGCGTCGKCTTCAGCAAGATCCACACACTTCGTCTGACCCTCACGCCACTCTGCCTTCAGTGCACGTTTGAAGAACTCGGATGTCTGGCAGAGAAGCTCCTGGGGCACTTTGAAGACCGTTGCAGGACTGCCAACGTTCAATGTGGTCGGATCGGATGTGAAGCTACCTTTTGTCAGTTAGATTCGTGTTGAACGATGCAATTTCTATACCAGATGCGCTCGGAGCAGGGCTTTGTGCGGTGCAGTAGCTGTAAGGGGCGCTCTCTAACTGCCGTCTCCCAAGCCTCTTCGACTGGTCGGTCGGGAGTTTCCTGTACCATGCTGCGGATAGAAGCCGTCGTAGATTCGGCGATCTTGCGCATGCTCACAAGGTTGGATATAATCTCATCCTTCTGCACGATGAGCGTTTTGAGGGGCGCTGTTTGCTGCTCTACCTTCGACATGATGTCTGCCTTGAGCCGATCATCAATCGTCTTGTTGTTCTGGACGAGATATCTAGCCCGGATGGGCGAGAGTGTCCAGCGGCCCATGTCCGTTGTCGATATAGGGTTCAATCCAGATCGTGCTCGTCTTGGTATGGATCTATCCGCAGAGGACAGTTCTGGCTCTGGAGACGCTGGAACGACTACATCTGTAGCCATGGAGCAGTCCWTCGGATCTTCCGTTACGGAAGTCGATCCCTCGACATCCGTCACGGGTCCGTTCTGGTCGCTTGTGGTTGACTGGCGAGCATCCTGAAGCTCCAGCTTAAGGCTTGCGATTGCATCTTTCCGCTCAGTGTCCCGGTCTTTGGCTTGCCTCTTGATAGTGTCTATGCGTGTTTGCTGATTGGCATGAATAGCCGCCTTTTCTTCCTCCAAACGAGTGTCGAATGCATCGATTGCCTCCTTCATCAACGTCTGTGCGTCTTCRAGGCGTTCTTTTGCGGCCTCCGACTCCTCCAACCGCTTGTACAAACCTTCCATTTCGGCAGCATCGTCTGAGTAAGAGGGTGTCGCTGCAGTGGGAGCCAGAGGAGAACGTGCTCTCTCTGCCATGTCCCACACTTCCTTGACAGACATTTCAGGCGTTTCCAGCGCAGCTTTTTTGATGACAGCAATCTTCGCCTGGGCGATATTGCGCACGTTGAGCTGCACCTGCACTTTGTTTTCGACGCTTTCAATGGCCTCACGCACAGCAGTCTCATTCTCCCGCTTGGTGATCTCGAGCAGCCGCTCGAGCTCCACGCGAGGCACCATTTTGGCGTCGTCCATCGTTGCAGACAAGCCGGAGTTGATGCGCGTGTGTTGTTGTTGATGTAGTGAAGTGGAAGCGAGTAGAAAGCAAAGGAACAAGGAAGCTAGTGAAGTCGATTCCACGCTTCTTGGATTGTACAGTGCCTCGTTGYTCTGAAATTCACCTCCGATCAACAGGTACAACTTCTTCACAGTGCCTCGAAGACGAACCCAAACACATCCACACCATGCCGAACCTGAAGAACGCCAGCATTTCGGAACCATTTCCAATCCCTCCGGCCATCCTCCGGCCGAAGAAGAAGGCCATCAAGTACGTCGTCCACTCTGTACAACAACCTCGTCTGTTGCTGATGCCACGACAGCTTCGCTGATGATCAAGTCGTCGTTCGTGTTGGAACGCCATCCACCACGTACCGCGTCAACAAGCAGCTCCTGTGCGACTCGTCAGAGTACTTCCGCGCAGCACTCGGACCCAAGTGGACCGAAGGAAAGACGGGATTGGTCGACATGCCTGAGGACGATGCAGATGCGTTCAATGTGTACCTGAACTGGGTGCACAAAAGCAAAGTCTTTCTAGATTTCGATAGGATGGATGACAACGGCGACGACGAACACGCAATGTGGGAGCTGGGGATCTTGATCTACGCGCTCGGAGACAAGCTGCTCGATCTTGACTTCAAAGATGCTATCTCTGACGTAGCTGCCATCATGCTGTCGACGGTGGATGGACTGACCTGGATGCCAAGGGGACATGAACACTTGCTCTATGAGAAGCTGGCTCGCGACTCTAAGCTGAATCTTCTGTTGACCCATAAGTACGCGCGCCTCTCCAACATCGGCGATGTTATGGATGAAAGCTGGCCGGCAGGACTTTTGTTCAACATCTCTCAAGAGCTGCTTCGTGTTGCGAAAGAGAAGCCTGTGGAATCAAGCGACAATGCAGCCGCTCGCTGTGTCTTCCACGAGCATGCTCCAGGTGCAGAAAATTGCTATCGTGCCAAAAGAGGATACGCTGGCTAGGACTTGGAATGGAATGGAATGTCAGATCAGAAGCACGATCGGCTGGCAGCATGACAGGACAGTGCCTCCTCACATCAAAACTGTTCTTGCGTGACCGATGGCCCAATTTTACTCCAATCTCGCCAGAATGCTCAGCAGGCTTCTGTGGGTGTGAAAGGATGCAAAGAGACGCTGCATTTCCGCAGTGAAGGCGTTAAAAATGGAATAATAAAACAGTCTCTCACCTTCATACTCACATGATTCAAGATAAGGCGTGACGCAGCATTGGACCGGTGTCAACCAACTAATCAACGTCCATGGCATCTGGATCCTGAGATTGCTCCTGCTCCACCGCGTCTCCATAGCCAGCAGTATACCCATGTGCCGTCTCAGTGACCTCAGCAGAACCATCTGGCCCATACCTGGCATTCATGTCGTGCTGCCTCGCCTCCTCCGCTGCCTTCTCCCTCGCTCTCTGCCTCGCATCCAATATTGCCTTTCTGACCGAGTCGCGACCCTCGTCCACGGTGAGACTTTTAGGCACACGGTAGAGAACTAGCTCTTGTCCCTCATGATCATTATCCTTCTTGTGTGCCACCACCTGCTTGGGCAGCTTGCTGAAGTACTGCTCAATGTCCGGCAGGAAGACCAGCCCTCTCTCTTCAGTATCCACGTCCGCAAGCTCCGCGTCTAGGTCGTAAACAAAGACGCGATCACGCGTCTCGTCCACTTGCATTATTGAGTCATCGTTGTTCGAAGCTGACCTCAATGCCCTGTTTTCCGGGCTCGGTGGTGTCGACGCCACAGGGATATAATGGTTGGTCGGGCCATTGGCTACACCTGATTATCATCCGTCAGTTTTCCGTCTCTGGGTTCATGGTCATCGTGCATGCATTGCAGCGTTTGCCTTCACTTACCAAGCGTGAGGCTCAGATTGAATCTCTTGTTGAAGCGGTCTTGGTCGAGGGACTCCTCAGCCGGCCTCTTCACTCCGGCTTTGTCCATCGACATCTTCTACAGTCATACTGACAACACTCGCACTCATCCAGCTTAAGCATACAAGAATCTCGAGGTTACAATTGAGAATTGCGCGAAATCCGTGTTCTTGTCTCGGTTTGTGACGTGACGGCGTTTGCATGGGAAGATTCTCGTGGTTTCCCTTGGTTTCGAGCTTCAACACGCTCAGCAGAACCAGCAGAACCGCATCGACACCAACAATTCGCCGGCATATCCAGCCAGTCGTTTTCACCCGCAGAATGGCATCCGCCACTGGCAAGGAGCCCGAGTGGACCGCCGTCAAGGTCCGCTCGACCTTTATCAAGTAAGTCCTCACTTCAGTCGCATTTGCAGGGATAAAAATCCCCCACCATGACTCTACTCTATACCACAGACAACAACACGCGAAAAAGCTTCAGTCAATGAGCCATCAGGAACATACTGACATTGATCCAGCTACTTCAAGGAGAATGGCCACACATTCGTCCCCAGCGGCAGTGTTGTGCCACTTTCTGACCCCACCCTTCTCTTCACCAATGCCGGCATGAACCAGTACAAGTCCATTTTCTTGGGAACAGTCGATCCGGACTCTGATTTCGCCAAACTCAAGCGTGCTGCGAACTCGCAGAAGTGTATTCGTGCGGGTGGCAAACACAATGACCTCGACGATGTCGGCAAAGACTCATATCACCACACATTCTTTGAAATGCTGGGCAACTGGTCTTTCGGCGACTACTTCAAGAAGGAAGCCATTGGTTTCTCATGGAATCTCCTCACCAAGGTCTACGGTCTCTCACCCGATCGACTCTACGTCACTTACTTCGAGGGCAAGGCTGATGCCGGTCTTGAGCCCGATCTGGAGGCCAAGAACCTATGGCTGGCCGCTGGAGTTCCCGAGGACCACATTCTCACTGGTGACATGAAGGACAACTTCTGGGAGATGGGCGACCAGGGTCCCTGTGGACCCTGCTCTGAGATTCACTACGACCGTATCGGCGGCCGCAATGCCTCAGATCTCGTCAACCAGGACGATCCAAACGTCATTGAGATTTGGAACAACGTCTTCATTCAGTACAACCGTGAGCCAGACAAGTCGCTAAAGCCGTTGCCTAACAAGCACGTCGATACCGGCATGGGTTTCGAGCGGTTGGTCTCCATCCTACAAGACAAGCCTTCCAACTACGATACCGACGTTTTCACACCTCTCTTCAAGACCATTCAAGACATCACTGGTGCGAGGGACTACCGCGGCACTTTCGGCGATGAGGATGCCGACGGAGTTGATACAGCTTACCGTGTCGTTGCTGATCACGTTCGTCTTCTCACATTCGCCATCTCTGATGGTGGAGTACCCAACAACGTCGGCCGTGGATATGTCGTCCGCCGCGTGCTCCGTCGTGGAGCTCGCTACGCCCGCAAGTACTTCAACACTGAGATTGGCAGCTTTTTCTCCAAGATTGTGCCCACTCTTGTCGACCAGATGGGGGACATGTTCCCAGAGATCAAGAAGAAGCAGCAAGATGTCAAGGAGATTCTCGATGAGGAGGAATTGAGCTTTGCCAAGACGCTTGATCGTGGCGAGGTCATGTTTGAGAAGTATGCTGAGGCATGCAAGACCAAGGGAAGTAAGGAGATGACCGGTGCCGATGTGTGGCGGCTATACGACACCTACGGCTTCCCAGTCGATCTCACTAAGCTCATGGCTGAGGAGCGTGGTCTGGATATCGACGAGGAGGACGTCAAGACYGCCCAGGAGAAGGCTAGACTGGCTTCCAAGGGTGAGGCCAAAGCTGGCGCTCAAGTTGTCAAGCTCAACGTCCACGACATCAGCGCTCTGGAGAAGATGGCCGACGTCCCCAAGACGGATGACTCACACAAGTTTCAAAAGGCAAACATCAAGGCGCACATCAAGGCCATTTACCATGATGGAAAGTTTGTGCAATCTACGACCGAGTTCCCCGAGGGCGAGCAGTTTGGTGTCGTTCTCGACCGCACAAACTTCTACGCCGAGCAGGGTGGTCAAGAGAACGATCAAGGTCGTATCCTCATTGATGGCGAGGCAGAGATCAACGTGCAGAACGTTCAGCTCTATGCCGGCTATGTCCTCCACACTGGCGAGATGAGCTACGGGAATCTGAAGGTCAATGATGAAGTGCTGTGTGAGTACGACGAGCTTCGCCGCCAGCCAATCCGCAACAACCACACTGGTACTCACAWTCTCAACTTCGCTCTCCGCGAGGTCCTCGGCGATGATATCAACCAGAGAGGATCTCTTGTCGCTCCCGAGAAGCTGCGCTTTGATTTCAGCCACAAGACTGCCGTCACTGACGGTGAGCTTGCCAAGATTGAGGAGCTCACCACCAGTTACATCCGCCAGAACAGCGAAGTCTACTCAAAGGACGTCGCGCTCACCCTTGCAAAGGCGATCTCAGGAGTACGTGCCGTCTTCGGCGAGACCTATCCAGACCCTGTCCGTGTTGTCTCAATTGGTGTGCCTGTCGAGGACCTGCTCGAGGACCCAAGCCGGTCAGACTGGAACAAGGTTTCAGTTGAGTTCTGTGGTGGTACACACGTGAAGAACACCACCGAAATCAAGGACCTGGTCATCCTCGAGGAGAGCGGCATTGCCAAGGGTATTCGCCGTATCGTCTGTGTCACTGGACAGACCGCACATGAAGTCCAGCGCATCGCCGAGGAGTGGAATGAGAAAGCTGCTTCCCTCGAGTTGATGCCATACGGACCCGAAAAGGAGTCCAAGACCAAGGAGTGGCAGCACGAGCTGAACAGACTTGAGATCTCTGCCCTCTCCAAGACTGCATTAAAGAAGCGCTTCGAGGGCATCATCAAGGGTATCCAAGAGCAGCAAAAGGCCGCGCAGAAGGTTGAAAACAAGAAGGTTCTCGACGCCGTTGCCGAGCAGTTTGAGAAGAACAAGGAGAATAAGAGCGTGGTCATCAGCATCCCGGATCTTTCTCCTGGTAGCAAGGCCATTCAGGAGGCCATCAAGCAGATCTCGAGCAAGCAGAAGGACAAGAATGTCTATCTTGTTGCACGGTCTACCGATGACAAGGTCATTCACGGATGCCACGTCTCCGCTGAGGCGCAGGGGAAGGGTGCTGATGCTAACAAGTGGTCTGGCCAAGTCGCCGAGCTGGTCGGTGGTAAGGCTGGTGGCAAGGGCGCTACTTGTATTGGTCAGGGCATGAATGTGGATAAGGTAGATGACGCTGTTGAGGCTGCGCGGAAGTATCTTGAGGGTTTGAGCTTGTGATGGGCTCAAGCTTCGATTCGTGGTATGGGATGTGCATGACTTTCATGTTTGATGCTGATGCCGCTCGGTCATGGATGATGAAGACCGCCGAATGATGGCTTTGCGTGCTCTACAAGTACAGACGCAATCAACTTGATAGAAGTTTTACGCAAACGAAGAAAATCAAATCTCTCCAGCGTCTCCTCTTCGCAAATCAACGAATCGGAGCGTACTCTCGTATTAACGTTAATGCAAAGTCTCAAAGTCCAACTCGGCTCTGCCCTGCTTAACCGCCTTTCCAATAAAAACCGCCCCTTTCCCCCTCCCTCTCTCCTTAACACTCCATCTCTATCTCCCCCCTCTCTCTCCCTCTCCCTCTCCCTCTATCTCTCTATCTCCACCTCTCCTTCTCCCAATCCCTCCATTCCCTCTATAATTCCAGTCTCCCCATCTCCCTCCAATCCCTCTCTTCCTTAACCCTCAAAACAGCCACAACAACATCCCCATCCCGCACATCATACATAACCCACGATATCTTTCGTTAAGTCTCGAACATAGCACTCTCCCCATGGGCTAAAAAGCAAATTCTTCCAGAGAAATGTTCAAAAGTCCAAGGGAGATTATCTGTCTTGGTACATAGTAGTTAGAATGAATTGGTTTCGGGACATGTGGAGAATATTGGGAGGTTTGGAATTAATTGAGCGCGGGAAAATCGGGAGGAAAGAGAGGCTGGGGTTGGGGTTGGGTGGTGGGGGTCTTTCTGCCATGTCGGACATTTCTGCTTGTTGTTGCGAAGATGTGAGTGATCATGGATTGGTGGGAGGAAGAGGAAAAAGAGATTGAGGGCTTGATGAAGGAAAAATTATGCAGAGGATGGGCAAGGCTTTTTGACAAGCAGGCGAGTCATCCTGCTTGTGAGAATCTGAGCTTTAGAGGGCACCACTCTACTCCTATAGATGTGGTAGTAATGCGAAACGTTCAACAGTCTCTTACCAGCAGAGGAAATGTCGTCAGCCTTGCGCCTCAGGCCAAAAGAACTTTTGCGACCGAGGAGAAAGAGTAAACACTTGAATGATCTTCTTTCCTTCATCTCTCTCTCAATTGACTAGTCCTCATCCTCGTCCTTCTCACCGCCGCTAAGAACCGCCTTCCGTGGGTCCTCTCTGACAACTCTAACTTTTCCAGTCGCGGAGTCTTCACCTTCTAGTCCTCCAACTCCACTGTCTCCATCGCCCTCTCTGACCCCTGAGGCTCTTCCACTTCCGACCTCGACCCCGAGAATTCCACCCACACCACCTCTCTCTCCAGCAACACTGAACTCTCTGAAAACCCATCCTCCATCTCCCAACCAAACTCTCACAGCCTTTCCAACCTTGTCCTTCCCGTTCTTGCTATGATGTCCGGTTCCACAGATCGCGTAGACAAATGCTTTCTCTCCACCTCCAGTCCTCTTGGCCTTCTGTGCTTGTTCCTTGAGACAGCCTTCAAGATAACCGACTGCTTCTTCAGGATGCAGGCCGTGGAGGTCCACATAGCACTCTCCACCGCCACCCTTTCCGGAGTTGCGCGCTTCGTAGAGAGCGCGAGCAGCTTCACGATGGCGTTCTCTCATCAGCGCATTTTCGTTCTGTCCTCGCAGGGAGAGAGCTTTAGCTCCACGGGCGTCATTCCGGTTCCATGCCTGCGCTGCACTTTGTAGGAACTTGTTGCGGAGGCCTCCGTGCTTGAAAGCTTCTTGTCGTGCTTTCATATATGCCGCGTTGACCTTGTCGCCGGTCTCTAACCAAGGAATGTCTTTTGGAGCTGGGATAGACATGGCAGCAGATGAATTCTCTCTCGTGGACGTGAAAGATTTGTTGGCCTTCAATCCTCGGCGCATTGCGTCGCGAGCGGAAGCAGGAGCTGGCGACGGAGACATACGGACGACATCTGCGAGACTGCTGGGCTGTTGGAGTGCATGATTGTTGTGGCCGTGACCGCCGCGCTTGCCGTGGTGACGCTTGCCTAAAGGTTTCGTGGCAGCGGATCCCAAGGTGGGGAATGCCTCGTCGTCCTGAAAGTTCACGCTTCCTCCGCTTGGTGTTGCAGCGCGCGAGTTATGGCGACTACCCGGTCGAGAGTTGGGTTTGCTGTTGGTTCCCAGACGAGGACCTGTGGGAACGAAGYTGGGAAATAGGCCAGGTGGAGCCGAAGCCATAGCAGCTTGTTGTTGTAGACGGAGAGCAGTGGTGTCTTCTGGTTGACTCCCATCTTCGTACGGATTGCTGGTGGTTGGCTGCAAGGCTGGAAAGCTGTCGTAGTCTTGAAGGTGAAAGTTCGGCGTGAACTGTTGGGGAGTGGGGGTTCCATCATTCGCAAAGGAAAGCTGCTGCATGAGAATGCTGGGGTCATGGGAGAATAGGCAGGAATCTCCCGCGATGCAGTTCCCAGCCAGCCAGTACTTGCAGAGATGATTTTGCACTTCATGGGCGAAGCGACAATCCGCTCTGGCGCAATGTCCACTGGCCAGCCAATAACGACAGACCGTGGACGACTTTTGTTGGCCAAGTGGAGTGGCGGGGCGAGACCCCGGAGCCATGTTCTTGCCAATCAGAAATGTTCGGTTCTCGTCTTGGGATTGTTGTTGCTGCATTGCAGCGGCCATTGCAGCAGCACCCACGCCTTGAGACTCCATGATCGAGCTGACGGTCTGACTCAGATCGTAGCCGTTTGCCTCCAAGATCTGCTCCAACTCATCATCACTGCGGTTGTCCTGCAGAATGGATCTGAGCATGTCGTACGGACTCATATCGGTGGTGTAGGGCGACATGTATTCCGAGACGGAGCCTGCCGTGCCATCGCCAAAGCTAGCATTACTACTCGCATCATCGTTGACCAGCCAGTCGACATTCTCACTCCCGTAATCGCCGTAATTCTCCGTCGAGGGAGTGTAATCGCTGAATTGGTAGACGCTCAGGCGTGGAGAGTGCGGAATGACRGGCGTCGCAGCGGGAAGACGCGGGGATGCTCGCGGGGAGGAAAAGGGCGATCCCACTGTTGAAGACTTGGTCCGGGCGAGAGCGGGCGGTTGAGGCGCAAATCCCGGTGGAACGGTCGGCGTAGCGGAGGAAGTGCGCGGAGAGCTGGCGGTGGATTGCTGTGTCGGCGTCGCAGCGCGTTGGATCCACGGCGCAGGAGAGCGCGAGCGGATAGGCACCGCTCCTCGAGCCGGAGGAGGCGAAGATGTTGTGGATTCGTTGGACTTCCACTGCCATAAGACGCCCAGCACTGCATCTTCCAGCGCCTTGCCCTTGAGCTTGCTCGGCTCCCCACTGAGCAGCTCCTCGAGCGCGTCGATTTTGCCCTCTTCGTCGATCTTGTCGTCGTCGAGCACCGGCCGGCAGAGATCGTACAGCCTCTCCGACACCATGTTGCTGATGAAGTGAGGTGTGATGTGGTATTGTGGTCGGGTCCCGTAGCTTCGAGCCTATCGCATCGTCGCCGGCGGTGCCGAGTCAACGGGCGCAAGTGAAGGTGATGAGCGCGACTAAAAGAAGGTGATTAATACGGTTCGCGCAGTCAAATGAGTGTCGATGCTGTGCAGGAGGGTGTGAATATCGTGTGGATGTGCGGGTGCTGGTGTTCTGCGAATAGACATCGAAGCATGGCGGATGACGATGGAACGAACCCTTGGTAACTCTGCTGCGAAGTGGATCTAGCGAGGGAAGCTTGATGTCCTTGCGGGGGTGTAGCGTGTTGTGAAGATGTGCATCATCAAGTGCTTGTCTTGACATAACACTTTCTCAATAAAACCACTATTCGCCGGCCAAACGATACTCCCAGGTTTGAGAGAGGAGCGGAAGTATCTGGCAGTACGCATTGAATAATCGCTCTCACCAGCACCGCATCGCCATCACATGCCAATTACTAAGCCTGCCGAAACCTCTCGCTTCACTTTACAACCTCCGGCTAGCAACCACCACTAAAACCATCGCCATTGACATTGACACTGGCGAAGATGACGACCCTCTTCAACGCGCCACCCCCTCAGTTCACCTTTGACACCCACCTCCACACCATCCTCCCGACCCTCGGTGCTCCCTCGAAGACACACCGTCCTCTCTGTCAAGACTATCTCTCTTCCAACGGCACAACTTGCCCACGAGGTGCCTCCTGCCCGGACCGCCACTACATTCCTGTCGCCGACCGTAGTGGAGTAGGCCATTTGATCTGWAAACATTACCAACGCGGCCTCTGCAAAAAGTCCGAGGGCGGAACTTGCGACTTCGCACATACTTTCAACCTTCGAGATGAGCGGGAATGCAAGGAATTCTCCCGSTACGGAATTTGCGCGCAAGGGGAGGAATGCACGTCTTTACACGTAGCTGGTCCAGGCTCCGAGGCTAGACGGCAAGCTTGTCCGCATTATGCGCGGGGATTCTGTCCGCTGGGTCCAGCGTGTGCGTTGAGACATGTGAAGCATGAGAAGTTGTGTCGATTCTTCCTGGCGGGATTCTGTCCGAACGGGAGGGCGCATCCTCCGGGAGCGGATCGCGTTGTGAGTTGTGAGTTTGGGGCGCACGCGAGGTGGGTGAGGGATGAGGATTTGAATCCTAAGAAGCCGGAGGTGCGAAGGGAAGTCGATGTGGAGCAAGCGAGGAGAGAGCAGGAGGAGAGGGAGGAGGAGTTCTTTGCGGAGGAAGAGCGGAGACGGGAGAGGTTTGAACGGGGTGAAGGTGGGAGGGGTGGATGGAGAGGGAGGGGAGGTGGGTTTAGAGGTGGAAGAGGAAGGGGAGGTGGACGGGGAAGGTATTGAAGAATGTCAGAATGTTTTGAGAATATTAGCAAGGCGTTGGTGGATTGCGTCGGGGTTCGATGTGTACGATACCTTCGTGATGAAGGAAAGAACGGATTGCCAACTACAGCATGCAACAAGCAGTTTGTATACAAGTCTACCAACAGAGGGAACGCTACGGCATCTACAGTGGGCTCTGGATTACAGAAAACGATGCCAGATCACATTACAGCATCCACCTGTGCATTCTCATAAGAGTGAGCGCCGAGCAGGTTGCTGCTCCTTTCCTGGAGGGCTTGGACTGAATCACGGCGGAGCAAGGAAAGATACAGTTCATAATGACATGAGCTCGTAGCTCTCCTCGAACTTCAAACGGGAGTTCATCTTGAGCCTGGCCGCTCTCTCTCCATCGAGCGTGATCAAGATCGATCAGAGATGGCTGGAATGTCAAGGGTGGCCCGTTTCGATGAGCCGCTAAAACACCGTACGGAAGCGCTTGGCTTGATCATGCAGCTTCGACGCGCCATCTGATCCTATTTCAGACAGCAGGCTCAACGTTTCCACGACCGTTCATGTTCTCTCTCTCGAACATTAACCTCGCTGAGCGCTGCAGAGCCAGCAGAGCCCACATGAACAATCTCTTCGTTCAAAATCACCAAGCCTCCTCTGATACAGGAGCCATGTCTGCCGATGGAAACCCACCCCCTCAGTGCGCAGAAGACGTCGTAGAAGACGACGGGAGCACCATGACATCCGACGGCGCATGGGGTTGCTACACACCTACCACCACTGCCTCATTCCCTCCGCTCTTCATCAGCGCGATCCCTTGGCCTGAGATCTCATATATGATCCTTGAGAAGAAGTCCCGCAAAGCCATGACGCTCACATCCTCTGGCCTCCTCCTCCAAGATCCCCCCACAGAGGGAGCCAACGCATCGAACACCTGGCTATGCGTCTCCAAAGACAACCATACAGGTTTCTATAACACCTCCGCTAAAGTCTATCTTGGGCATGACGGGAAATGTAGTTCTCAAAGCGTCGAGCACGCGGTGGTGGGAAAGATGGCGGAATGGGAGTGTTTCATCGCGAGACAGCATCCTAAGGGAGGCTATCTGTTGTTGTCGCCGTTTTGGTCTGAGTTGTGGATTGTGGGGGTAGGAGAGGAGGGAAAGATCATGAGGGGCAGACATGAGAATACGGTTTGGGATTTCGAGGAGGTCTGATTCGGTGGAAGGGGCAGTTCAGCTTTTGACAGAGGTTTAGAGATAGTATTTGGTGTTCAATGGGAAATTACTCGCGCTGGAACTGGCCCAATGAGGTCAGAGACCAATATGTATACTCCGTTTGCGTTTAGTGTGTGTACTTTTACTCCCCGTGAGCGATGGGCGCAAAGTCATCTGGACCGAATTGCCTGCCCGGAAAATGCTTGCCAGAGAGCCTTCGCCTTGAAGCTCATATTGGAGCCGGAAAGGCGCTCCTCCATATGCTTCTTCGTTGAAATCTTTATTTCTCCCTAGCGTCTCATCGATCGTGGATTTGGCAGGGCATCTCGCCTTGTAGCAAGAAACGATTGTGTTGTATCTTGAGAGATGGAAGAGCACTATAACAAAGGATAAGGACAATCCAAGATAAGGTTATGCGCTAGATCCTATATCCCTGTAAGGTAGGTACATTTCAATATCCCCTACATTTCAATCTCCATCCCCAGGTTCATTGACACAGCACCTCGAAACTGCGTTGAGACGTGGCAGAGCTGGAACACATTCTGTTAGCCGCCATGGCATCAGCCTGGTCTACTCTCTCATCTCGCATTAGGACACTTGTAGCTCGAGCGAGGAACCTGTAACTTAGTAATGAGCCACATTCGCAAGCGAGCGAAAAGTTGGTGCAGACGGGAGGAATGAAATTCGGGCGCATTCGAACCAGGCACGATGGACCGAGAAACGACGGAGACCACGATTGCGACTGAAGAAACCACCGGGAGATCTATATGCCGACTCATCATGTGCAGGGCAAATCATGGACTTGGTCCTGATAGCTGAAGACGACCTGCAGCATTTGAAGGCGGTAGAACCTTAGTTACCTCAAGAAGATACCTTACCTTGGTAACTTAGATGGTGACCTGCCATTATTATTTTCGTGAGATATCTTATCAGCCACAGCTCGAATCTCTACAATCGATAGGGCTGAAGTAATGCGAATGCCGCGCGCCTCGTGATCAATACGATCGAGAAGCGAGCTGCGCCTCAGCAACATTGATTGAGTCTAGAATTCCACCTTGCATTGATTGCCTCGTAAGTCAACGTAAATTGTGGATTGTTGTCGTCAGCCTCGCTTACGAAAGGATAGCCTCGCTGGTGATTTGAGTCTGGTGCAGGAAGTCGTTTTTGTAGCAGGTATTCCACGACTAAAGCAACTTGAAGCATTTCACATCGAGGGGTTCACAGCGGTGCCCACCTTCAAACACGACCGGCCGCCACTCCTACGAATCCTCCGACCAGTGCGCGGGCGCCGACAAGGAGCGGACATCTTCCTCACTCCCATACTCCTCTTCACCGACATACCTTACCTACTCTCGTCATCCGTGCGTCGCTGAATTGCACCCCCACGTCGTATCAGGGAATCAGCAGCAGCACTTCTAAACTCCGCTCCTCGACGATCATCCATTCTACCTCCACCCATCGAGCAAAATGTCGTGGAAACTGACCAAGAGTACGTCTGCGGTCGTAGTGTGATGCTCGGCAACGGCACGCTGACCCTCCTACAGAGCTCAAGGAGACCCATCTGGGTGCTCCCTTTGCCAATACCTTCTCCCGAACCTCATCGCAGTCTACGATCAACAACGGCGCCGAAGCACAGTCGAAAACCGCCCCATCGCCTCTCAGCACGCAGACACCGGCCGCTTCATCCGCATCTGCAACGCCAAATGGCTCGGACCCACAGGGAATCGCAGTATCGGAACAGATGGTCAACGCGCCTGCCGTACCTGCTAAGCCCGGTATCCTAATCCTCACACTCCACGAAGGGAAAGGGTTCAGTCTACCACCCGGTGCTGAGCAGGCGTTCGCACGGCCCGGACATGGCAGCAGTATGAGTGCGGGCTCCTTCTCGAGCAGCTACATGGGCGGTAACAGCGCTCGGCCAGGCTCAAGCAGCGTGAACCAGGGCAGCTTCAGACCCATGTCCTCAAGCGGCGGCGGAATCAACAACATGCCTTCCACCCACGGGCGGTATAGCAGCAAATACCTCCCTTACGCGCTCGTGGACTTCGACAAACAGCAAGTATTTGTCAACTCAGTCTCGGGGACGCCTGAAAACCCCGTGTGGGCAGGTGGCAGCACACAGTACAAGTTCGACGTCAGCAGATCAACAGAGTTGAACATTTCGCTATACATCCGGAATCCACAAGCACCGCAAGACGCTGGAAGACGGCAGGATATCTTCATTGGCACGTGTCGCGTGAAGCCTACCTTTGATGAGCAGGATGCTGCAAGCGCTGCACAGTCTGCGGAKGCGAGGAAGGAGAAGAAGGAGAAGAGCATGCCGCCGCCGAACAAAGCAGACGAGGGCGTTGCATGGAACGATATTCAGTACGGAACCGGCGCCATCAGACTTGGCGTCAAGTTTGTGGAGAACAGACACTCGTCGCTGAAAGTTGAGGATTTCGAGTTGTTGAAGGTGGTTGGCAAGGGAAGCTTCGGCAAGGTCATGCAGGTGAAAAAGAAGGACACCCAACGGATCTATGCCCTCAAGACCATTCGCAAGCAGCACATCATCTCCCGATCAGAAGTCGCCCATACGCTCGCCGAACGCTCAGTCCTCGCTCAGATCAACAACCCCTTCATCGTCCCGCTCAAGTTCTCCTTCCAATCACCGGACAAGCTCTACTTCGTGCTCGCATTCGTCAATGGCGGTGAGCTGTTCCACCACCTGCAAAAGGAGCAACGATTCGATATCAATCGCTCTCGATTTTACGCCGCCGAGCTTCTCTGCGCGTTGGAATGCCTGCACGGCTTTGGCGTCATTTACCGCGACCTCAAACCTGAAAACATCCTCGTGGACTATGTCGGCCACATTGCTCTTTGTGATTTTGGCCTGTGCAAATTGGACATGAAGGACGAGGACAAGACCAACACGTTCTGTGGCACGCCGGAGTACCTCGCCCCGGAGCTCCTGCATGGACAGGGTTACACGAAGGCGGTCGACTGGTGGACGTTGGGTGTGTTGTTGTATGAGATGCTGACGGGCTTGCCGCCATTCTACGACGAGAACACGAACGAGATGTATCGGAAGATCTTGTCAGAGCCACTGCATTTCCCAGGACCAGAAATTGTCCCACCGGCCGCGAGAGATCTATTGCAAAAGCTGCTGGAACGAGACGCAACGAGACGGTTGGGAACCAATGGAGCTGCAGAGATCAAGGTCAGTCATCATTTATCAACTCGTAGGTAACGACTAACCATGGCAAAGGCACATCCATTCTTCCACTCCATCGATTGGCGCAAGCTGCTAGATCGCAAGTACGAGCCTTCATTCAAGCCTTCTGTGGATAGCGAGCTAGACACGGGCAACTTCGACAAGGAATTCACCTCCGAAGCACCCACCGACAGTTACGTGGATGGACCTGTGCTCAGTTCGACCATGCAGCAGCAGTTTGCCGGCTGGTCATACAACCGCCCTGTAGAAGGCCTGGGAGACGCGGGCGGCAGCATCGTGCAGGGCAATGCTTTTGATCAGAGGTAGATGGTTGAACTGCCATAGTTGGATGGCTTGCATGACTGGTAGTCGACGAGAGACAAAATTCACATGAGCGGTCTGTTTTGAAGATTGTCCTACTTGCTACACCGGCCGTGAATTCACCGCCGTAGAGCGAGGTGAAGATTGTGACAGCGAATTGCTGGCATGTGGCGCTGCTCCGTGCATGCTGCACGGAGTGAAGGTCGGCCAGTCCCACATATTGAAGCTGCATTGAATAGACCCCTGCTCGCTGATTGATGTGTTGTCAACAAGAACGCGAATTCTTTCCAGGACATTGCCCCGCCACGACTTCCAAGTTCGTCATACCTTGAATCCGAGCTCGCCGGTGTGGGGTGCGAGGACGGCGACATCTCACAGTTCACCTTCTGTTGGGACCTTTCACATTCACATTCACATCCACCTCACCTTCTTCTCCGTACTTTGCTTCCACTTGCTCTTTACACCGCTTGTTTTTGAAAGCCCGCACTTCACAACACACGCGCAAGGTTTGCTACATCATAGCGCCAATGTCAACCACATCCAAGCTGACCGTATGAACAGAGAAAAAGTCACAATGCCCGGATTTTCGCAGGCCAACGAGCTGCCAGCATGTAAGTGAGGAGTTGCAAGTGGGAGAAATGATTTATGCTAATGCTTCCCAGGGAAGAATCTCATGCAGCACCATGACACGATTGGCCGCGGAATGGTGCTTCGCGCCGAGTTCGAAAAAGACCCGAAGCGCTTCGAGAAATACAGCCGCACATTCCACAACGAGGCCGACAACAGCGATCTGCTGTTCGATTTCAGCAAGAACTTCCTCACCGACGACACCCTTCCACTCCTCGTCAAGTTGGCGCAGGAAGCCAATCTCGAGACACTCCGCGATGACATGTTCAAGGGCGAGAAGATCAACTTCACTGAGAAGCGTGCCGTGTACCATGTTGCTCTTCGCAATGTCAAGAACGACCACATGGCAGTTGACGGCGAGAGCGTTGTCGAGGGTGTGAACGAGGTCCTCGACCACATGAAGGAGTTCTCCGAGCAGGTACGCAGCGGAGAGTGGAAGGGTTACACTGGCAAGCCAATCGATACTGTCATCAACATTGGTATTGGTGGATCCGATTTGGGACCGGTCATGGTCACCGAGGCTTTGAAGCCATATGGCAAGCAGGGCATGAAGCTCCACTTCGTCAGCAACATTGACGGCACTCACTTGGCAGAGGCGGTCAAGGAAAGCAACCCCGAAACCACTCTCTTTTTGGTTGCATCCAAGACTTTCACCACCGCTGAGACCACCACCAACGCCACCTCTGCGAAGAACTGGTTCTTGAAGACCGCTAGCGAGAAGGATATTGCCAAGCACTTTGTTGCGCTCTCGACCAACACGAGCGAGGTCGAGAAGTTTGGAATTGACAGCAAGAACATGTTCGGTTTCAGCGACTGGGTTGGTGGACGTTACTCCGTGTGGTCTGCCATTGGGCTGTCGGTTGCAATCTACATCGGATTCGACAACTTCAAGGAGTTCCTGGCTGGAGCCAACGCCATGGACCACCACTTCAAGACCGCTCCTCTAGAGGAGAATATTCCTGTTATTGGTGGTCTCCTGAGCGTTTGGTACTCTGACTTCTTCGGCGCGCAGACTCACCTTGTCGCACCGTAAGTATTCTACCTCCTCCCAACGGTGAGGTGCCAAACTGACTTTCTGTAGATTCGACCAGTACATGCACCGCTTCCCAGCATACCTACAGCAGCTTTCCATGGAGTCAAACGGCAAAGCCATCACCCGCTCTGGTGACTACGTCAAGTACACCACCGGTGCCATCCTCTTCGGCGAGCCATGCACAAACGCCCAACACTCCTTCTTCCAGCTTCTGCACCAAGGCACTAAGCTCATCCCCACCGACTTCATCCTTGCCGCCAAGTCACACAACCCGATCGAGAACAACAAGCACCAGCACATGTTGGCCTCCAACTACTTTGCCCAAGCAGAGGCTCTCATGATCGGCAAGACGCCCGATGATGTCAAGGCCGAGGGCGCGGCGGATGAGCTTGTACCGCACAAGGTGTTCTTGGGTAATAGGCCTACCACTAGCATCTTGGCGGAGAAGATCACTCCCGGTACTTTGGGTGCGCTCATTGCTTACTACGAGCACGTCACATTCACCGAGGGCGCCATCTGGAATATCAACTCATACGACCAGTGGGGTGTGGAGCTTGGCAAGGCGTTGGCCAAGAGCATTCAGGCTGAGCTCGACAGCCCTGGCGAGAGCACCAAGCATGACTCAAGCACGAGCGGGTTGATCAATGCCTTCAAGAAGATTGGAGGTATCGCGTGAATCCATGGAAGTGATGAAATGAAGGGCAGGGAGACAAAGCTTTGAGCATACCATTGGGCAGCATTCGAATCGGATTGAAAATATCTTGATCTTCGACTATGGTTTCATTGGTATGGTCGTGTAGAAGACTTGGATTATCTAGATGACAATTCAATACGAGTTATGCAAGCCCATATCTCGCTAGTTGGCGAAGCAAGTCCGGCAATTCGTCCATGTGTACGGGCTGAACGAGCTTCTTGAAGTCCATCTCCGTGAACGTCAATTCCACGTGTAAAGAACCCTCGCGTCGCGCTGCAAAAGAATTGACTATGGTTGGGTTGTGAAGTTGTCAAATTCATTCACTCGCATACGAGTGTACGAGCCCCCCTTACGCCGGACTTTTCGGCTAACTTCTTTGGTAAGTTGATCGTCCAAGGAAGGTACCATGGTAGAATTACATGACAAGGAGCTCAGCACGAAAATCAAGGCAGCTCTATGGATAGTTCAAGTTGTAGCCTAGCATTCAAAGAACCTATACGCTACATCCCGTCATCTCTATAACAATCCTCACGTCCTTTCCATTCTACAACGCCTTTCATTTAAATTGGTTTAGCAGCTCATTACTCTAGACTGAGATACTCGTCGATACTATCGAGAAAGGTTCCTGGATTTCCGCTGCTTTTGATCTTATTGATCTTTATTGGAATCATCCTCGCGTACTACCAATGCAGGACGAAGGCCCGTATAGCGGAAATTCACCTACAGCGAGTTTTATTGGAACTCGAGTCGCAGAATTTTTCAAATTCCGAGATCTGGGCCGTCTCGACTTGTATGTGTGACTTATTGCCACTGGAAGTCTACAACAAAGTCTCGGTACGCCATCCCAGGAGAGGGAGCTGTATGTTGTTCACAGCTGTGTGCATAAGGATGGTTTTGAAGATAATGTACTCCCTTGTATTTGATCACACACATAGATATCCACATGAACTACGACTACAATCTACGACAAAGTTTCCTCAACCCACTGGTATCTTCCCGGCCGAGCCGCTTCCATTCACTCGAACAAGAGGAAATCCAGAGCTCGTCTCCCTTCGGAATTCCACAAAACCACTTCATCCAAAACTTTCTCGAACCGTCTCTTCACAAACATGACAAAGTCTCCGCCCCGATCAAGCTGGGGCTCCGACACCATGAATGTGAATCCAAACAACGACATCCATGACGAGAACGTGGTCACAAACTCTGCGACCTCTGACAATGCCCACATCGTCGAGTTCGTCCCGCCCCGAATGGCGACTGCCAAAAGCTTGACGGCCGATCAATTACGCGCCGGGCTGGAGACCCTACCACAGGAACTCTTCGACTCGATCGGGGAGTACACCTTCACCGCACAGCCCGGAACGCGCAGCATCAGCACCAAATCCGGCCGTGCCACCCACCGAGCGCACCTCAAGCTACTTCAAGTCGACTCGGCCACCCGAAATCTCTACGCCCAAAGTTACTACGGCCAGGGTGCGATTATTCGACTCATGACCGACGATAACGTTAGCTGGCTGAACAGTCTTTCGGCGGGTCATGCAGCACTTCTTCGCGATTTCGTCTTCGTTTATCACTGGCAAGTACGGACCTTGGGATCCCCGTATTTGGGGTCCTTCCACAAGAGCGGGCTGACGTTGAGGTTGGGGGATCATGAGTGCCACGGAGCAGAGGTGATCAGGCACTTGCGATCGAAATGGCTTCTGGAATCATGGACGACTTTGGACAAGAGGGATGTTGATCAGCGGGTGGGTGACGCGCCTGAGGATGATGATGAATTGTTACTGACTATTGAAGCAGTTCCGTGCCGGCTTGGTGAAGGAGCTCGACATGGGTGATGTCGTTGTGTGAGTCGTAAAGGAAACTACACAATCGATCAGTCTGGCATTCTAGCAGCAGGAGGGGAGGCTCAGGTATGGATGGCTGTGTATCGCTGGTTTAGATACTTCAGTGACTGTACAAGAAGCTGTGATGGCTCTTCCAACTACGTGCGTGGCTGACAAGCGCGTGCGCGGATGGAATGCAAAATTGCTTTTACTTATGACACGGAATAGACACCAAGGAATCATAAGTCTGAAGCTCTCCATCTGAAACTTGACCCATCTTACTGAACTTTCCGCGGTGTCCGTCGAGGGATTGGAGCTCACGATGTGCTCGTGATCTTTCAGAAAATCAATTGACCTTCGTAGGCCTTGCAATCCACTCATTTGGTGTTTCCCATCAGAGTCCTTGGTTGAGGCTCATGCTTCGACTCGTACGCGTAGCCACTTTTCGAAGTTACTGCCAGCGCAGAGCACGCCTAGGACAGTAAGGTTGCTGGAAAGGCTTGCTGACGCACAAGTTTTTCGCATCGCTGGTCCCCGGTCGTTCAAGATGAAGTCAATTAGACCAAGCAGCGAGCCGAAGTGAAGAAATGAACGAAAAGAGACCTCACTCACAAGACCATGCATCTTTCGGACCACTCCACATCCATTTAGCATACACGCCATAATTCTACATTTATGAAAAACTTGAAAGATCGAGCCCTGTTCCAGCAATTCGAGGATTTTCCATCCTCTTGCCGAGAGCACTGTTCGCTCATCAGCTGGTAGCCACACCAAAAACGCCATGCATCAAACACCATGACCTCTCCACCAGACCGTTGAGGTTCTAAACATTAGGAAAAATTTGCGTTGACACGCTTAGTGCGAGTGGTCGTGTCCGTGTCCGTTTCCGTTTCCGTTTCCATGTCCATGTCCATCGTGCGAGTCGCTGGCATTTGGCTGCATCTGCTCAGGAGGGCAGCAGCTCTTGCCACCGCCGCAGTCATCATCGCACTCCAACAAACAGCTTCGGTCACCAGGCTCGCTGTCGAGTCGAGACGTCGAGTTGGCTGGGCTGCTCGGCTGCCCTGATCCCGAGGCGAACTCGGGCTGGATGGTGGAAGAGTGAATGCCGTATTCGTRAAGACACTTGCGGATCGCGGAGGCCTGCTCCATGTAACGCTGCGAGCCGTTGCCCTTGAAGTTATAGTTGACACGGACGTGAAGACTGGCAACAAGCTTCGTGTCACTGAGCTGCCAGACGTGGAGGTGGTGTACGCTCTCAATGCCAGGAAGGTCCTCGATATCGTCGCGGATGTCATCGACCTCGATCCCGTTAGGAACAGCTTGGAGGAGGATGCGGGAGGCAGCCTTGCAGAGAGGAATAGCAGAGCACAAGATGATGATGGTGATGACAAGAGAAATTGCCGGGTCGAAGTAGTAGCGGCCCTCGAACTTGCACTTCCAGATGATAATGGCGGTGACAATGACACCAACATTTCCCAGAGCATCGCCCATGACGTGCAAGAAGATACCCTTCATGTTGAGGTCGCCGTGAGAGTGACCGCCGCCTCCGCCACTGCTCTCTCTGGGCTTGCGGTGCTTGTGCTCGGAATGATCGATGGATTTGCGCGGGATGGAACCATAGCCAGCGTTCGACGCGACGACAAGAGGGTCGACCTCGCTCTGCTCCCCATCGGCATCGTCCTCATCGGCGGTGTTTTCCGCATCCGAGTCCACGGGGTCCAAACGTGCTTGAGCAATGATGGAATTGCGGAAACCCGATGGACCGGGAAAGTCTTCGATGTTGATTTGAGGCTTGGAGATGGAGCGGCTATGTTTGCGCGCACGGGGAGACTCTACTGCCGTCGTCTCACTCTCTGCACGTCCAGGGACGATGGTGTCTGCGTGGCTATGGCTGTGCGAGTGGCCAGCGTGTGAGTGGTTGTGTCCAGCGTGTCCCTCCTCGGCATCCTTGATTGCGTGACCCTCCTCGCCGTGACTATGACCACCATGACTATGACCGCCATGACTGTGGCCGTGATCGTGGAACAGCACCAATCCCACCAGGTTGGACGCGAGACCGAGACACCCGACAATCAGCACCAGGACCGGGTTGGAGACCACCTGCGGCTCCACGAAGCGTTGAATGGCGTCGAGGAAGATGGTGACACACAGTGCAACGAGGAAGACTCCGTTGACGAGCGCTCCCAAGGTTTCCGCACGTTGGTAGCCATACGTGTACTTCTTCGGGGCGGAGCTCTTGTTTGCCATCTTGACGGCCCATAGCCCAACGCAGAGGGACAGGACATCGTTGAGCATGTGGAAGGAATCGGCGACGAGGGCGAGCGAGTGCACGGCATATCCGGTGACGAGTTCGAGGATGAAGAAGGCGGAATCAATCACTAGCAGGATGATGATCCGGCTCGATTTGGAGAGGGCCATTGTTGTTTGATCGATTGCCGAGGATTGTTAATGAGAGGAGGCAGGTGCGAGCGGACTGACCGCGGCGGTCGACGTCGAGGTGGTGCAGGTCGACGGTGGATGTTGGGAAGGCGGAGGGACAGAGGGGGGATGTGTTTGTTTTTCTTTTCAGCACGGTTTCAACGTTCTTCACAAGATGGAGGCATGTTCCGTGAAGCCGAGATTTCCATGTCATGGGGCTGGCGGGCACGATGCCGTATACGGTGCGCTTTTAGCGACAACTCTGCAACAATCTTTTTTTAGTAGAACTAAGGTACACTACTTACGCTACCTCGGAATATAACCGTTCCGAGAGGTTAGCGGTGATTTTTAGTTATTATACGGGCGTTTCCGATATAGCCTCTTTATCTAATATGTAGATATAGTCCTAATCGATAGATTAATCGTAGAAGTAAAGTTATCTAAAGCCTATATCTATAACTATATATTAAGTACTCCCTTTATATAGTAGATAGATCGAGAAGTAGATATACGCCCGTATAATGCGTTTACGACTATTAAAGTAGTACTATATAGATATCTATTAAAGGAACGAACGAAACTACTAAAAATAACTCCTCTTTAAACTTATAAAGTACCTACTATCTTTATTCTTATCGTAACCTTTTAGATTAACGACGCTTCGACCGATTACGCGTATAATTTACGGGT